TACTAAAAAATCTACAAATTATTATACTACACTGCAGTCACACTCAATCCAGTATTTATTAACTTGTACATCAACAAAACATAGCTAGTTTTACTTAAATACAAAATTACTCAATTAAAAATACGTCTAAAACTTCTACCAATTAATTCATAATGAAATTGTATGACTCCAAAAAACTTGAATATTGTTTCAGATCCAATAAACTTTACAAACCTTGGTGGTAGCAGACGTAGTAGGCAACATTTTAGGGATATAAAATAGGCCTAGTATAACTTTGGTACCTTTGGAAAATACCACAGTTGAATTTCTTTCAAACACTAACAAACAACATAATTCAACTGAAGAGCTACGTCTCTTGTACTTTCAAACTCGCAGACGATAGTGTTGGGAATCGATAGCCGATATATCGAAAATATCATCGAAAGTTGTCTTCCGATATATTTTCAGTATCGATATTTCACTCTGATATTTATTTTTTACTATCACTTGTCATGGCCATTGGAAGTAATTATTTCTCCAGTCTAAGCCTGAGGTTTAATCTGAGGTTAAAATGTAGTCTAAACCACGATCGTCAGAGGTAATATATATTTGGGGAAATCGGCCCTTTTGGAATAAGTACAAAGAAAAGAGGACAACTTTTTTGGTTGTACCTATTTATATTCTCCCGCAACTAACGAAATGTTAATGGAATAAAGAGATATAAATTATATATTTCATTAATTAGCAGTTGGTCGGTGTTTTTAATATCGATGTTTTCTCCGAAATTTATTGTTACTTTTACTTCGATATTTTTTTTACATCGATGTTTAAAGGCCGATATCACTATCGATAATAGTATCGATGTCCCAACACTACTGTATCAGACAAATCATCAACACAGGACAGGATCAGGGTAGCTAACATACGTCCAACAAGGAACAACGTTTCTCTCCAACAAACTATACGAGACGTAGGAATTGGCTAACTCAGGAACTCGCTAACTCGGTCGTGTGTCGGAACTGGCTAACCGTCTCAGTCAGGAATTGGCTAACTCCGGAAGTCGCTAATCCAGCCACGCCCAATGCACGGGGCGTTGCCAACCTTGTACGACGAAATAATTGTACACTGACGTATTTCAAAATGTCAGTGTCAATGAAGATACATTAAATGTTATTGTTTTTTGTTATCAATTCCACTTTTAACAGATAACTAGCCTCAAGTAATTCAAAGACAATTAAAAAATCAAGAAAAAGTGTTTTTTTTATTTAACTGTACAATGGCCAATTAAATGTTTATGATTTTGATCTTAAATATAAATGCCAGCAGTATAAAAGAAAATAATAGAATATGAAAAATATTGAAAATTCAGTTTAATTGGTAAGAAATAATTAAACCACTACGAAATTAAGCTAAAATACTCGCAAGTTCTCAAACACGGAAAACAAATTTAATCGTAATGTCGTAATAAACCAAAACCATTAATTAATACAGCCATCAACCATCGTACTTCTTTCATAACTAATTCATAGATTTAAAACTAAATGTTCGTCGTTGAATCGTCTAACTTACGTGTACAAATGACATAGACTAAGTTTCATATCAATTTATAGAATAGCTGTAGGCTTAAATCTAGGCCTAATAGTCTAAACCAAAGCATTGTAGGCCTACTAGTAAATAGTTGCCTATTTCTAATTTTAGTAATAATTTTACATGTTTTAAAACAGTTTTTAGATTGTAAACCTAAGCACCACTAGTAAATAATATGCAAATATACAGGGTGAGTTTCTACTGACCGTGTTAACTTCGCCAGTGGGTTCTACTCACTAAAAGTAACAAAAAAGTTCCTATAAACCCATGTCCGATTTTTAACCTTTTGGCTGTAATAGGGGATTTTGTGTTTTTCTTATTTTATTAGACTTTCTCCACAATTTATGTAATAAAAACTTAATCAATTACTTTAGAGAGTTGTAGTTAGAATCATTGGAAAGAACATTAAATTTGCTATAAATCAAAGGTTTCATTCAACAATTATACCATTACATAGTCCACGTTATATCCAAAATAAAGTAAAAATGTCATTAAATTAATTAATTACGATAACTTTCATGAGCCTCCTTTGATACATAAACCTGCATTTATGCAATGTTGAAATGCATAAAAAACTTGGCATTTTAATAATCTTTCAAATGATATGCTATTCAATACTATTATTGATATAAACCAGTGAGAAATTACTAATAAACTACAATAAAACACGGTTTACAGATTTTGTTTTTGCACAGTTTTACTGTTAATAATAATTACTGTATTCATCATGTTAGCATAATCTTGATTGGTAAAAGGCTCCATATTTTAATAAATGTTGAAAAACTCTTAATTGACTTGGAAATATAAAGTTAAAACCGCAAATTACTTAACAAGGTATGTTCAAGCAGCTGAGTTATCTAGCTATAGATGACAAATCAATAAAAGCTGACTTAATCAAGCACAAGGTAAAACTAATTACACAGCATTTAAGAATCAAACACACTACATCTTTGAAAATGTGAAAAACCTTGAGTTTATACATTTTATTAATTCAGATAATTTTTATAAATATTTAAAAGTTAAAATAATGTACAAATTTTTATCAGATAGTTCAATAAAATACATCATGGAGTATACAGTAATTATTATTAACAGTAAAACTGTGCAAAAACAAAATCTGTAAACCGTGTTTTATTGTAGTTTATTAGTAATTTCTCACTGGTTTATATCAATAATAGTATTGAATAGCATATCATTTGAAAGATTATTAAAATGCCAAGTTTTTTATGCATTTCAACATTGCATAAATGCAGGTTTATGTATCAAAGGAGGCCCATGAACATTATCGTAATTAATTAATTTAATGACATTTTTACTTTATTTTGGTTATAACGTGGACTATGTAATGGTATAATTGTTGAATGAAACCTTTAAATTATAGCAAATTTAATGTTCTTTCCAATGATTTTAACTACAACTCTCTAAAGTAATTGGTTAAGTTTTTATTCCATAAATTGTGGAGCAAAGTCTAATAAAATAAGAAAAACACAAAATCCCCCAAAACAGCCAAACGGTCGAAAATCGGACATGGGTTTATAGGAACTTTTTTGTTCCTTTTAGTGAGTAGAACCCACTGGCGAAGTTAACACGGTCAGTAGAAACTCACCCTGTATAATATTCATATAATAAAACGTGACAGGGTTATTTTAGTTCACGATTTTTATTCAACGACTTGACAGATTTTCCTGATTTGACCAATGATTTGATGCAATCCATGAATACATAAGGCATACCACTTTATAATATATTGATCAATATTTATTTAAATTCAATACCGGTAGCACTAGCTCTATTTAAAAATACATTACCACTACAATGTATTTCTGTAATGACGTTTAACGAGTAAATTTTATAATGATTTATGATTCAATTTCATGATTCAAGGTTACAAGCCCAGTATATAAAATAAGAACTTAATAATTTTATTTGCAGAAGTTCACAAAATGGTATTTATTCGAATAAAAGAAACAAATGGCGGACTACGAAAATAGATATTTCATAACATGTAAAAGATCCAAATAAAATCATTAAATTAATCTTTTTGCATCCCAATAAACTAAAATTTAAATAAGAAACCCGCATATAAAACAATCCCGTGTAGGCCTATTAGTATATTTCTCATCCTTATGGATCAGCTGAAGACTGTCCGGTGCACTGTCTTTAGAGGTCGTGTTTTGTTTACAATTGTTTCTTGTTTTAAGTCATTTAAAACCTCGTTTAATCAAATAAAACATTAAAATCACAACTAATAACATGTCCCCTAGTTATATAACCAAACAGTAAAGAACAAATCATGAAGTTAACTATAAAATAATAGAAACATAATTTCGTCGACACTAGCGATCAGTGTTACCGGACATGAACTAGACACGAAAAACGAGCTTCAAAGTTTACAATGGGATGTAAAGTTTTCTTGTGTTGGTTAGTCTATGGTAAGACTATAATGCATTTTCCGTCCTAATAATCACAAGAATAATATTAAACATACTTCTAAATATATTTATTTTATCGACTACATTGCTCTTACTCCTTATTATTCGTAGGATACGACATTATGGTACCGATACGATATAGGTACTAACTACACTTTCGGCAACGCTGGCCAAAAATCTTCATGCTTGGCTCCTATTGGACGGCCCGCGAGGCTTCTGATTGGGAGTTAGCGAGTTCCGCCGAGGGACGGAGTTAGCGACTTCCGTAAGAGGACAGAATTCGCTAACCCGGCTCTATAGCGGGTTAGCGGGTTCCGGAGTTAGCCAATTCCGAAACCGAACAAGTTAGCGAGTTCCTCTCATTGACCAAATTTGAAGATAGGGCGTTTAACATGGGGTTAGCGAGTTCCAGAGTTAGTCAATTCCGCGGACCCAACTATACCGCTAATTGGTTAATGATTTCAAAATCAAAATCAAATCAAATCAATTTATTGACACAAAACAACGTTACATTGTTCGTTAGTAACGTTGATTTCTTCAAATAAGGCATGTTTAGGCCTAAACAAAGTTAAATGCAAGTTTAAGAAACATCAAGTTTATTTGTCAAAGTCAAAGAAGTTTTAATCTTTGATGGATTTTCACAAATATTTATATTTTATTTTGTTTAAAAATATATTTGTCTTGTATCTCTGACTTCCCAACTGTCCCAACTCGTGGGAAGGAAATTCCCAACTTTTCTCTTTCCAGATTCTGGGGGGTGGAGGCTCCCCCCCCCCCCCCCCCAAGCCGACACTCCTGACCAGCAATCTAGCAGATTGTATGGCAACATTTTTGGTAGCAACCTTGAATAAGAGAAGACACTGAGTTTGAACCAACAGAGTTTTGGGATTCAAAAAAATTGACATAGGTTCTATACTATGAAGACGCAGAGAGGAAGAGTACTTGAAACAATTGGCATTGCAATTCAAAGGACAAAGTAGGCCTACAATAAAAACTGCAAACTTATTAAACTATACTATTTAATTCATTCAACTGTTGTTATAACTTAAATCTAACTTTACACAACATTCTGCTGTAAAACTAAATATGAAAACATTGTATAACAATTTATTTTTGTGCACTTCATGGAAGATACTAAGTAATGCTAGGACTAGTTTTGAGAGAGCTTAAGTTTAAGGAGTTAAACATTCAAATAAATAAGATCGATACAAAAGTCAAACTACATAAATACACAATCACGATAAATTATACAAACCATAAAAAAGAGCACTCAGTAGTGGTTAACTCTAGCTACAAAATAGGAAATGCGAAGCACTAAAAATAATACTGTGATGACTTGAGGTAGAATCAGTCTTTACTGTGAGGAAGTGGAGAGTGCATTTTTGATTCTGTCTTGAAGGGAGTTGAACCGGTCGATATATTGAGCAATGCTGCCAGGCTGCTGGTTTTGGCTACAACAATAGATTATATTAGTGAAAATTCAATTTGCTTGATAATAGGAGTGAAAAGATATTGATCCACTAGTCTAAACTCGAAACTGAAAACAACTAAAATAGTCAATACACTAGATTAAATTGGTTAGGCTGTAGTAGAACTATATTCAATATTGCACTGTTTTCTTGAGAATTTATGTTTTATTTTTGTGATTTTACACACCACAAAAATTATTGGCTTATACCACCTCTTTGGTCATCTGTTGTACTTACATTTTCAAGTAAAAATTGGTGGATAGTAAAAACAAGGGAATGATCCATCAATATTTCAATATTACTTAGCCGTTGTGTTGCCACATATTCAAATTGTAAGTTACTACAAAATGAATTAAAATAATATAGCATTAAATGTTTTGCTAACTTCAAGCATAGTCAAAGCTTCAAGGTAAAAATTGCCTCTATAATTGCCTGCATTCATAGTTCTGCAAAAATATTTCTTAGGAGTTGAACTTAGAAATATTGAGCAGTTTCAATACTGAGATCTAAGGGTTAGTTAACAGCTTTTAAAAAACAAATACTTGAATGAACATGCTCAAAAATTTACGATAATGTAAAATCAAACACTGCAAAACTTTCAAATGCAAATATTACATATTTACAGTACTTGTACAAAAGCGTGTAACAATTAGTAGGCATACCAAAACAACAATCGGTTAGGGGGAGAATAACTTTGTGTTGTTTCTTAAGTCAACTGAATCTATATTGCTAATGATTTTTTTTGTATCCATTATTTCTTTGGAACTTTTGGGGATGAATAACCAACAGACTCAGGTTTCTAGAGTTAACTTCTCTAACCGTCTTATTTTCATTAATTTGTTCAATACAATGCAGTTATTTGTAAAGTATAAATGTGAGGAATCAGAAGCATCAAGCGACTATGTGTTATAATATACAATCTGACACTGACGAGTGAGCTCGGCACATCCAAGTGTCAACATGAAGTACATGCAGCAACTCACCCTGCGGCTAATGACGATCGGAAGGCAGAGTGGACAAACTCATAAATGGTTTCAACCAAGAAAAATGAGCGAAAGGCAGTCGAGATCCAAGTGCCGGGCTACAAAATCGACTGAGAGTAAAACCAAAACCATTGACCAAACACACTTCCTGAGGCAACTAACCTAATTCATTTATTTTATAGCAATATCTCACTTTAACCACACAGAAGTATGATGCAGGGTATACTTTAATCGTTGTATCCTGAGACAACAAACTAATTTAAATACTTAAATAAAACTGGTTACTTAAAAAGAAAAATAATTAACTACTTTCATTTAAATATCTATTTTATTTAACCTACCTTGATGAGGGCACGTTATTTCTTCGCCACAATGTTTGAAGTTCTGTAATATTTTCTGCTGAAAAAGTATGATTGTTATCAGACAGTGTAGTTAGTTTATTTTTACCTTAAATACAAACACTGTATGTATAAATAAGGTATGCATCCTTTGATAGTGACTGTGTCAAATAAATACACGATCATTCACAGTTAGAGGATTAACCATGCAGTGATTAAACTAGGACTAAAATATTAAACAATAGCAAAGCAAATACTGTTGTTTAAGGTCACATTGTAAATGCATACTGTCAGCTACTTTCATATGTGTGCAAAAGATTTACATTAAAAACTGATTGATACTTGATGCTGCTAATATGGCTAGTGTTTTCATTATTAGAAAGAGTGAAATTTCCATAGGATGAATGTGTCAGCCTATTTATGTATTGATATAAGTCCAGAGATTGTGGAAGGCACTAAATGATCAAAATGTCTTTCTTAAATGATGTTGACAAAACTATAACGTCATAAACAATGGACTTGTTGCATTTTTTAAAATTCAACATTGGTATTTTTCATACTGACAAAATGACAATTACAATAATATATGGGAAAATAAATAAATATAACAGTACATTATATATGAAACCATGTACCGATTTGTTCCATTTTAACTTTTTCTATTCAAACGAGCACACACAGTATTTTCCTTTAGCCTTACCACTGTAGGGTCCGTTTCTAGCGGAGTTGAGAGCTCGTTGCAGCAGACGACAAGTATTGTCATACGTTTGCTTGCGATGATCCACCAAAAACTGCATGCGGAACACGGCTCTTACTGTACATACTGCAACTCTGTAATGTAAAAAATCTGACTTAAATGTTGGTTCGGCAAAGCAATTGTCATTACAGTCACGACATTAGTGTTGCAATACTACTCGTTATACACATTACTTTATGGTGTATGTTTAGAGTTATTGATCTCTTTTTTTTCTGATGAGTTCTCATGCTTATTCGATGATGCTATCAAACTGATCCCTTCCTTACTACAATTTTTAAATAATAAATGAAACTTCCATCTCGAAACTAGACACATATTCCAACTGTTCTAGGATTCTTGTAAACAAAAATTCATAAAAAAATATGGTTTGTTAGCTAGACCAACCAGTTTTGAAATTTAGGGTGGCTAAACTGACTTATATTTTTGCCCAGGCACAGGTTGACGAATTTGAGCGACGGTTAATTCAGAATGTCGGTTAAGATAAGGTCTCGGATGCTAAAGAGCTAGTGTTTATTTTATCTTTTTGTATTATATCTTTACATATGACCTACAAGCTATTTGGTATGCCTGCAGTACACTATTGCCGAATGTAGACAAACTAAGAGGAGTGTGATAGTGTACTCGGTGTGCTCGCTTTTTTAGCGGTCTCCTGTCACGGATCAGAGGAGACGAACTAGGACGAATGACAGGCACGAACATAGCAAGTACACACTTGCTGTCATTTGTAGTCACGGATGCTCTCTGTCTACAGTATTTACTGCAGTGGCTGTGTAGTTAAAGTTACTTTTAATTGGTACCTTTTCATTATTTACTACTAGATCTTAGAGATAAATTGTACAAAGTATGGAGTGGTCTAATGAGGAAACACTGTTGTTTTTGGAACTATACCATAGTGAGCCTGTTCTGTGGCCGTGGGATAATTTAATTGTATACATGTATTTAAAAAAGCATTAATTTAAAATGTTTAAGCCGCAGAGAAGTAAGAAAAAGTGGATACATTCAAGTGGTATCTACTAGCACCAATTGGAAATTCTAGAAATTGTCTAGAATAGTCTTCGACGTTAGCATCCATGTTGCAAAAAATTTTTGCACGAATGTTTTGCCGGGAATGCGCAATATTGGGTTAGGCATAGTTTGGCCAAAGTTAGCCCATCGATAGTGTACTTGGTTAGTTTGGGGTTGTTCGGGTTGCACATTTGTCAACATTTGTGGTCGCAATCTGACCCGAACATATGGCGAAACATTCGGGAAAATTTTTAGCGATGGTGCACTGGTAGCTGTAAAGGTTAATGGGCTGACCTAAATCGATGCTCAGGTGTGGGGGGAGGCGGGGGTGAGGGCGCAGGAAACCTATACAGTGCAGCCACTGTCTGTCTCTCCTCTGTTTGGTAGCCTCTCAGACTGACCATCAGGTAGCGCTTCTGCCACACCAGCGCCTTGCGATGACTCTCCGCCTTCAGGTACTTCTGGAGCAGGTGCTGAAACCAACAAGCACAAAGGTAGTAATATTGAGTAAACATCATCCCATTAAAACAAATAAATTATAAAAATCCAGTGATAAATATCAGCTGTTTGCATAATGAGAGAGCTATTGTTGTCAGATGTTAAAAGTCAGCAAACTCAGGTAGAGCAAAATCAATATCATCAAAAGCCTGAGGTCAAAAATATAAGCACTAAATTCTTCTTGTATTGAAGTAGAAAGTAGTAGAATACTTACAGTGGAGTTGGTGAATCCGTTATATGAGTCTGTGCCACTGCCAATTTGATTCTGTGAGCGAGCCAGTGACTTCTTCAGAGCCTCCTTCTCCTGCAGCCACGCAGCTCGCTCAGCGGCAAACATTGCGTTGAGGTTATCGACTCCACCATCCACAACCTGCAAATATGTAAGAATTGAAAAAATTAAACCAAACAGAAAAAGCTGAGTGTTTTGACGGACTCAGAGAGGTTAGCCCACTGTGGGCCACTTTTTGTTTCATTGGGGATTCTGACTATTGTAAAGTTGTATAAAGTTGTAGTTGTTGTAGTTGTATTGTTGTTAAGTTGTTGTAAGTTGTAAAGTTATTGTTGTTGTGTTTTAGAGGTATAAATGTTTGTCAAGAATAATTTAAATATGTTTTCTGTCAGAAAAAAAACAAAAACCACAATCCTGTAGATTTAGGTTTAAGTTGAATCAACCCAGGGTTTATGTTTAACTAAATCAAATTTAGTTAAGGTTTAACTTAATCAATGAAATTATTATGTTAACTTAGGTGTACATTTTTTTAACAAGTTAACATTGACTAAATTGACTTTTCAGATGTTGCCTTAGGCCGGCCACACACAGAACCAGGCGGGTCGGGGCGCGACAGGGCACGACGAGACGCCTGACTTAAGCCCTGTCTTGTTCCTGTCACACACAGAATGAGGCAGGGCACGTCAAGTAAAAAGTTTAGCCCCCATAAACCTGAAAATTAATATAGGATTTTTTTATTTCTGAGCTGTGAGCCGATTTAGCCAACTTTTAAATTTGACTTTATACTTGGGAGCAGAATAGAAAACAAAATTCAAAGTCATACCTCCAGAGGAGTGGTTTTTGAAACCCTTAAGATATGAACGTTGGCCCTCTCTTTCCTCAGTTATCAATACCAAGATAAATTATTAGTTATTCAACTACTGTAGTAATATCATCACTGGTCTGTAGTCTTATCAAAGGGTGTAATCTTTGGTCGTATAAATTGTTACATTCTTGTATGTAAATTGTATCAGTTGTAAAATAATCCTTATCAAAATTAGCCCGTAAGGGAATAAATCACATGACCGCGCATGCGCAGAAAGTTCTGCCCGGCAGCGACTTGCCTCGGGGCATAATTTTGGAGACCTTCGCATTTTGTCCTGTGGGCGCCCGGGGGCGTCTTTTTGACGTGCCCTGCCTCACCCGGTCCTGTGTGTGGAGCTCCATAAGCGCCCGTGCAATTCCCGTCGCACAAGACGCCCCGGGGCAAAATGCCCTGTCGCGCCCCGCCTTGCCTGGTTCTGTGTGTGGCCGGCCTTAGAGAGTGTTTCATAATAGATTGTATGACTGATAACAATTGAATCCTTTTTATATGTTGAAAAAAAAAAAAAAAACACAATCATTTGATTACCTTAATATTAAGCGCATGAATACGAGACTTAAGATCTTCAATGATCTCATCTTGCTCCCTCCTTCTTTTCAAAAGGTCTTCTTTTTCTTCTTTCAAAATGGTGTTGGCTGCCAGTAAATCCTCCTTTTCACCAACCAATCGTTCAACTGTGACGTTGGACTCCTAAGGGAAAAGAACCATAATGTGATCGTTTACAAATAAGTGGATATGATGGGAAGTAAACAGTAGTAGAAAACAGTTTGCAAGTACTTATTGAAAAACTGCACAAGTTAACTTTAAACTAGTAGTTAACAAGTATTCTTCTCCTTAACTATGATCTATTCTGCTCAGGTAGCAAACATTTTTTTAATGTTGTTAACCAAAATACATATCCTTTGTAGTTCATTTTTAATCAATATTATTCATTCATTGTGGTTCATTTTAAGTCAATATTATTTAAAGAATTATTTAATTTTCCATCACAATTTAAAATACAATTTGCTAAAACAAAGTTTTAAAGACACTGTGTAACATTAATATGCCATGTTTCAGATTCTTTATCACCTGAGAATAGGAACAGATTCCAGAGCCTTAAACTTTGTGAACACTTTGTTTTTTATTGCAACAATCCATAGAATAGTGAAAACCAAAGTTTTCAGACTTTGCGCACTAATTTTGGTTATGTTTTAGGTAATTTTCCTCCTGAGGACCGGATCATATTTTAGATCTCTGGACAAAGAATTGTTTTCTACTAATCCCGATGGGAAAAGTCTGTAATAATCCCTTGAATAGCATGGAATGTAAACTCTCAACTCACCCTAAGCCTGAGAGCCAGAGGTGAATCATCTGTGTGAGCCTTTATCTGTAGATGACTCTGTCTCAGTCTCAACTGTAGAGCCATACACTCCCTCTCCAGCTCTCTCTGTTGAAACAAGTTGATACTTGATAAATAGTCACATTAAAAATGGTAAACAAAGGTAAAAAACTTGGTGAAAAAGATTAAATGTCATTGTGTCCACTCAACTCACAATCACAACTACACAGTTGTAGTTGTTATATTAATATTACCAAATATGAATGAATCTATGTTACTTAAAGTCATAAAAAAACCTTCCTCATGGTTGGTAGTTCTCTATTTTATAACGTTAATCTACTTTGCATAGAACTTATCAAGCAGTATTAGCAAGGAAGATCCTACTACCAAATTTTTTACCCAATCGATGTAGGGACCATGAAATTTTAATACAAGAAGTATATCAAATTACAGTGTTAAACATGATATATTTTTAATCAAAAGTACAGCTAAGCAAACTCAATATAAACTCTTACTTTAGCTTTTTCAGCCTGGTTTAGTTGTTCTTTCAGTTTTTCTTCAGCAGTCTTCCTTCTGAGGTGCCTACTTCTCTCCGCCAGCTCGATGGATTTTATTTTGGATTCTAACGTTTTCCTTAACCCTTCTTCAATGTCAAGCTGACTTTGGAGATCTTGGAGCTAAAAGGATTGATAATTTTGTTATAATGTGGTGTAAAGTTAAAAAATAAGATATAAAATCACCATTTATAACACTTTAAGAAGTATACCAAAATGGTCCATCTAAGATACGTTCTTTGAGTGAAATATTAAGTTAGTTCAACATTTGAAAGTAACAAGTTACATATCTATAGGAATTTCGCTAACATGCAGGTTAGTCAGTTACCTTGGAGTGTAACTGCTCAGCAGTTCGCTCAGTGTTGAGGTTTGCTTGATTTAACATCTGCCGCATCTGTTCCAACTCACGAGTGCGATTCTCTAACGCTTGCTGCAAACCCATCTGAAACCATCACTCATCATGGCATATACAACTTTAGTTAGCCTTTTAAGAATTTAATATAAAAAAAATATACAGAAACCTACCCAGGCATATATCAAACAATTTACCTAAATATCACATCAATCGGTTGAACATTCAGTAATTTATGGGCAAACGCCCTATTTTCATGGTAGTATTGTAATATTTACAACCGCCTGAGCAAGGTTAGAAGGCAGGGATTTCTTTCTCTTTACCAAACATAACTGTGATGACAAGAAAATCGGTTATGCATCTTACCATTTCAGTGCCAGCAAGATGATTTCCTGTCAATTTTTCTGCCTTAGCCTTGGCCAGTTCCTCATTGAGGTACATCAACTGGTTCCTGTTGAACACTCTCTCCTGCAGCAACTCTTTCATCCGACTCTGATTCTCTTCAAGCAGCCGTTGCAACTAGATTGACAGAACAAGGGTAAATGATAAACAATCACAACTTGAACTTAATGACCTTTACAAGGGAAGCTTAGAAAGTTCAATTTCTGGTTTTTTATAACTTATTATGGAATGTAAAGGGTGCAGCAGTGTAACTTTCTTTATTAAATGTACGCCATTCAGTCAGTTATGTTGTTGTGGAGCACTCGTCTTGTTTGCAAGGTGGGAGTATACAGTTTTACAATACCTAGTAAAATAAAACCCTTTGTTTATTTATATAATGGGTTTTATTATGTTTTGAAAACAGGAAGTTATGCTGTCGCACCCTGTACAATCATTTAACTGACTGGTTGTTTAGTTATGAACTGAATGGCATGAATTATGTATTCTGATTGTGTATGTTCTTACAAAAGTTATTCAACAGGACTTTACCTCTCTCTCTTTAGATCTTGTTTCCAACGGTTCAGTTCTTATCAGTTCCTTCACTCCATCCACTTGACGTTCCAATTGGTGGCTGAAAAGTAACAAGAGTTGTTGTACTTTACTATACATCTCTAAATAAATACTAGTGTTTTACTGTTTTTTGTTTTGCACTTAACAATGCAGACACAGAGAAGTAAGGTACGGAGGAAACTTACTTATGGGACGACCGTTCTCTAGTATGTTGCACTGGAAATATTCTTGTGATGAGCAAGGAAAAGACTGAGTGGCAAGCACTGTCAGACAGGGCACAGGGTTTTACCCCACCGTGAGCATTGTGGTTCACGAGGGCGAGGGAGGTGGCGTTTACCCTAACACTAGTGACTAGGGGCTATACACCACTTAAGTGTACCATTGAATGCTTTTTTTGTACCTTAGTTCTATGTGATGCACGGAAATGAGATGGATGACCAGGAAAGTCATACACCTCAGTAAATAGATTACTTTTGCAACCCAATATTCAAGCTCTGGTAGGAACTATCTTCTCTACACCAATCTAGATCACTAAAGTATCTAGCGGCTACTCACGCAATGCCTTTAAACTTGTCTTCGAGTTGGTCGTTGAGAGTTTGTAGTCCTGCTACCTCCTCCTGTAGTTCCCCCACTCTCTTACTCTGCTCCAGGTACCTTCCCCTCTCCTCGGCCAACCTGGCACGCAGCTCATTGACCATCACTCTCTCTACATGCAGGGCAGCCTCTAACTGTGACATAACCATCAAACCCATCAACATACTTGGGTTTCTTGCAACATATGACTCATGATTTTACTTAAACAATCTTATTACTTAACAGAAATCCTTAAGACGTAGGGCGTCTCGGTTATCAAACCCATCAATTTAGATTTATGATACAATCACTTCGCTTTCCCTTTACGACGGGGATTAGTTTTTCCCATTAATGCTTCTGAATTACAGCAAAGGATGTGTTATATATAAGCCAATCTATAGTTCTGAAGCAATAGTGATCACAAAAAAATCTGTTTTTGTTTTGTGTCAAATGAATACCAGTCTTAAGTGTTTTTATTGTGAACAGAATCTTAGATTAATTCAGCAATATTTTTTAGCAATTTATGTAAGGCTTTTACATTGTAAGAAAACAAAATATGGTTGAATCCATTAACACAAATCATCAACACCAATCACATATTAAATATATTTTCTTTAAATTTAAAACTAGCAAGATGATTGCCTACATTATTATTATTGGCAAACAGCTTTTGCATAAGATCTTATTACACAGGTTATGTAACAAAGCATATTAAAGATATCCATAATTCAATACTTTTGACAATTATATAAAAAATAGCTTATAATAAGATAAGTTGATTGACATTTTGTATACCTCTGCGAGACGAGTGGTGAGAAATTCAGTCCTGGGCGGCATCACATCACTGCGGTTAGCTGGTACCATCTCCAACTCTGCTTTCGTCTGCCATACAGACAATGGTTAAACACATGTGCAACATCTGGCTTAACATATTTGTTGGATAACTACTTACAGGAAATAGAAATAAGAGACACTCTATGTAAAGGTGGGCCTTTTTATGTGATTTTCTATGTAAACTCATCAGATGAATACCAATTAGAATAATTTAAATAAATTTTTCAACCGTTGATCTTTTAAGTAAAGACTCAAGAAGGTTTCATACACTTGCCTCTCATGAAACCTTTCCAAAGTATCTAGAGGAAAATAAGTATACTAAACTATATGATATTAAGTCAATAAACATTTCTAAAAATTTTAAAAAGTAATTACAAAATTGCTTATTAATAAAATGTATAGTATAATAAACTTAAAGATTTGTTAAATGATGTGTTTGTATGATTTTTGGCTTTTTAGATTCTAGCTTTTTGACTTCAAAGATTCTCTCGCATAGAACGAAAATAAAAATATATCATAGTATAATTCGACCAGTATTAACATATGGAGCTAAAACTTGGATTTTAAACAAAAAAGAAGAAAACAAAATTTTAAGAATGATATATGGCCCAAAACAAGAAAATGGAGAATGGAGAAAAAGGCATAATAGGTAGATAAAGAATATGTATAGTATAATGATTATGATGTAGTAGCACACAAGAAAGCATGGAGAATAAGGTGGGCAGGACACGCACTACAGAGAGAACGGGGGTCACTATTAAAAGAAGCAAGTATAGGAAAGTCAGAAGGGAAACGACCATTAGGAAGGCCCAAGAAGAGATGGTGGGATAGTGTCTCCAAGGATGTCAGAGAAGTGGGAGCAGCAGTGGAAGAGGCAGAAGATTGAGAGAGATGGAGAGCAGTTGTTAGTGCGGCCAAATCCCGCCTTGGGCATAAATGGCTATGGGAGTGAGTGAGCTTTTTAAATACTTTATTCTATATTCGGCTAGGTATTTTTATTGTTTGTGAACATTTTACCTGTTTTCCAGCTTCGCTAGTTCCGAATATTGTTATGTAAAAATAAATTATTGACTTTACTTGACTTGATAGAGAAGAAACACAAATAAGTTACTGTACCTGCAATTCTGACAACAATGTCTGGTCAAGTCGTGCTGAAACATTTAACTCTTTCTGTACTTCATCAGTCAGATCGTCTAATGAATCTGAAACCAAAAAAAATAAAACAATGATAGAAGGTGTTTTTTATTTTGAAATTTATTATTGTGAACTTAAACATAACATTCAATGTTTGTGATGTGTCTGATGATGCCATAGCTGGCAAAAGGCCTCATAAAAAAATTCATGAAATATTATTGAAGTTTTTATTTTAAATTTGATTAAAACCAATATTAGGCCTACCAGTTATTATGAGGTTATGACAGATGTTAACCAATAAAAATAATAAATGTAATAACAACTATGGTGAAAAATTCAAGTTCGTTTTAAGATGTGATCAAACTAAAAATAAATGTCAAACCAGATTTGTAAAACAATATAAGCGATTTTGCTTGTTATGAATTGTTTAATTTCATCAAAAACTAGCAAAGGTGTTTGCAATATTTGTAAAATAAAAACAACTCTTACTTTACGTTAACATCCAAAAATTAAGATGTTAATGGAGTAAAAGTAAGCAAATTCAACTTACTTGTAAGTGTTGATCCCTCTCCACGGATATCCACCAATGTACTCTTGGAAACCACAAGACTTGGTATCTTGTTTTCCCCGTGTTTCATTCTAAGATGAGCAGAAAACTCTTTCTCTTTCATCAATTCATTTTTCAACACCAGATTTTTCTTTTCAGTTTCCCGCCTGGCTCTTCTTTGTCTCTCATATTCTCTCTTTAGAGATTCATACTTCCTTTTCAAACCTTCAAAACTATCCTTGTCAGCAACAATTTCTCGAGGTTCATTGTTTTGTTTTTCTAAAGACACTAAGTTTTTATTTAAGTCATCCCTGAGAACTTTTAGCACTGCTATTTCATTGTTTAGAAACTGTTCAGTTGACGCTTTCTCATTTTTAAGTGTTTTATAACTATCATCCAGTCTTCTCAGTTCATTATGAAGTTGTTGAAGTTTATCATCTTTTTTATTTATTTCTTCCAAAAGGGACCCTAGGTTATTTCCTACTTCCTCCAATTTTTGATGTAAACTCTCATTTTCAGACTGCAACTCAGAATTACTGAGTTTCAAATTTTCTAATTCATCTTTTAACTTGATCGCATCATCAGAATCTTTCCTCAACATGTTTTTCATCTCAGCTTTCTGTTTTCTTGTTAATTGTTCTACGTTCTTCTTTAAACGTTGACAATCTTTAGAAAGTTTATTGTTATCTTCAAGGGATTCTTCTAGCTCTCTTCTCAAAGTCTCGACTTTTTCACTGTTTTCCTTGGCTGTGACAACAGCACTCTCTAATTCTTCCTGAAGGGATTTACACTTTGACTTTGTCATCACCAGGTCTGACAGAATGTTCTGTTTGTCTGTCTCAAGTTTTGTGATGGATTTCTGCAAGTCTTCTTGCGTTGCTCTTCCTCCGTCCAAAGCTTTCCTCAATTCTGCCAGCTGTGCTTTGTAAGTGTCACATTCCTCTTTGTATTTGTCACTTGTCTCTTTCAGTTCATTCACCGCTGGATTGTTCTCGTAGAACTCTGCAAATGATTTAGCCTCTTTCAGTTTCTGCTGCAGCTCTTCCATGATACCCTGCAGAGCCTTCACGTCAGCTCTTGTCCTCACATTTTCCTCCTCCTTGACAGCAAGCTCCGTCTTGACTTCTTCCAGTTCCTTTTCCCTCTCAGTCAGCAGTTGTTTGACTTCCTCTAATGACTCTAGCTGCTCTCTCGCATCGTCCAGTTTCTGTTGGATTGACGGAAACTCGTGTAGCTGAACCTCACATTCCAGGAGTCTTTGGGTCTTCTGTTCCAGCTCTGATTTGAGCTGAGAAAGCACGTTTTCTAGTTGAGTCTAAACAGATACAAATGTCTTTTTTAGCCAACAACAAATGTTTAAATAAACAAAGGATTAAAGAAAGATAAAACCATTGCTAAAGATGTGAAACTAAAAGTGCTATCCAGTTTAGTCTCAATTACAAATCTTGCTTCTAACACTGATGACCCATGTTGCAAAAAACCTGCATACTAAGAAAATTCCCATTTGCTTGATTGAAATTCACTGTAGTGTGAACGTAAACTTCATCTTACTTGGGCCCTAACTGGCTCTCAAATGAAACAACCCATAGCCATAACTCTTCTGTCTACGGAACAATTATTGTTTTACAACACTTCAAAACATTTGCTCTTAACAATATCGACAACCTACTGCTTCAAAAAATTGATGCATTTAGTTAAACCACTAACTTTCAATACTAAAGCAGACATCCTATCTATATGAACTAGCTGTTGCCAGTTATTTACTCATAAAGTACATAGTTAAATGAACCTCTCATATCGTCTGCTTTTATTGCAGTTTAAATTTCTCTTTTAGTTGTTCCCAAGCATGGGCTTGTAGTCAATTCAGGGAAAAATGATTCTGAAGTCTGATGTATGTATTTCTTGTATTAATCCTGTTGTTGAATAAAGTGATTTGATAGTATAATTGATGTAGACATAATGGATACTTACAGCTCTGTTGGGAGACGCAGATAGATGCATCTCAGGTTCAGGAATCTTACTCAAGTCTTCTCCAATCACTCTGGGCACCAGTCGACTGCCGCCCTCCTGTAGACATTAACTCCACTTAATTTCAATTAAAAATTAAATCAAAATCAACAAGTTTTAGAAACATTGCTAATTAATTCAAAAAACTTAATTACAATCTTCATTGTGATTATTTCTTTGAGTCCATGGTAATTAAAATAAAGACAGGGTAAACAAAATCTATTCATAGATTAACACTATTTAGTTTCTTACATTAAAAAATGAGAAATTATTTTACTATGAAAGAAAATTTTGAATCCATTGGTTTGTTTTGTTAAGTAAATACTATGACTTCCTAGCAATTAACTATTTCCATGCATTTGTTACAACAATCGTTAACACTGAAATGAATCACAAAATATTAATCACCGCTTATCTCTTCAAGAGATAACATTGACTTCTTGTCTGTACTTGACTTAAAACTAAGAGTTTTTTATTAAAAGTATTGCAATTAACTGAAATTTACTTGGTGACCCTGAGCTAATAAAATGGGATAAACTTGCTGAAGCCTCTTTGAATATGTGGGTTCTAAAGACATCTCCAAAGCTCAGGCCACAAATCAATGTGATTAGTTAAGTTATTGTGAAGAAGTCTGTTTTGTCGTTTCTTGAGCACAAAATATACAAATACAAAGTTATAAATTGTATTTGGCTTTCATCCTACTATACCTTTACCTTTATACATGTGTTTAAATAAAATTGCCGTGATGTTCATTGCAGCAATACAACAGCCAAAACCAAACAATATTCAAGAAATTATTCTTTTGTAGAGAAACTCGTAAAAATAATAAAGCAGAAAATCACTTTGCTAAACTGAAACTTAGTCACCCCTGAAACTAAAGTCTTAGACCCCACGGTAGGTAATCTTACAGGGTGATTTGTACTCAGTGTGACAAAATTTTTTTGGTGTAAGTACAAAGTAAATGAAGTGTCATGATGCACATCAAATGTTCCAAGTCTCAAAATTAGCTTACCAAAAAATTATTTTATGTTTTTCAAAAATAACCATGCTTATAAACTTAATACAGCGATTTCTCAATTACCTGTATATGGATTTGAGTAGATAATGTCATTTTCGTGTTCTACATTAAATTTTGAACAAGAATAATGGAAAATGACAGAGGATCAGTTGTAAAAACTCCATTGAAAATAGATTCAAAGATAAAAATTAAGATGTTTGATAAAAATTTAAAAAACAATGGTCAATTGAATTTTTTACACCCTGTACACAAGAAAGTGTCGGAATATGTTAAAAACTGTGCCATTTTATAAGCTTTCCAACCATATGCTACACTATTGAGCTTTATGTCTGCTTATGTACGCTTTAATGGTTTGAAGACTACAAAGCATGGTGTCTTTAACATTTAAAACATAGAAAGTCGGCATGTATTAAGCAAAAGTTGTATTTTTGTTTCAGCTTGAACAGTAAAAACAGTAAAAAAGTTCCCTGTTTTCTGGTATTCAAACCACTAAAACAAACAAAAAAATATCTAAACCTCAATAGTTTAGCATATGGTTGGAAAGCTTATAAAATGACGCAGTTTTTAACATATTCCGACACTTTCTTGTATACAGGGTGTGAAAAATGCAATAGACCATTGTTTTTAAAATTTTTATCAAACATCTTAATTTTTATCTTTGAATCTATTTACAATGGAGTTTTTATAACTGATCCTCCGTCATTTGCCATTATTCTTGTTCAAAATTTAATGTAGAACACGAAAATGACATTATCTACTCAAATCCATATACAGGCAATTGAGAAATCGCTGTATTAAGTTTAAAAGTATGGTTATTTTTGAAAAACATAAAATAATTTTTTGGGAAGCTAATTTTGAAACTTGGAACATTTGATATGCATCATCACACCTTATTTACTTTGTACTTACACCAAAAAAGTTTTGTCACACTGAGTACCAATCACCCTGTATAAAAATACTAGGAGTTTCAACCCATTATAAATGTTTAAGTAGTAAAAGCAGAAATAGTCCTCACTTTTAAATCTGTGGTTTTAAATCTGCTGGTTCAATCTTGAGAACAATAAAATTCTGGACACAAATGTCATTGTTTTGAACTACAGGAATAATAATCCTATCAAGGTCATCAATCCTTACAAAAAAATAAAAACATAGAAAAATTGGTGTAGAACACAATTGGTGACAAAAACACAAATACTTACATCCATGGATAGAGGCGTGGAGAAGATGGGCCGTATGCTGCTGTGGTCGTGACGGAAGTCTCGGACTCTCTCTCCCTCCCCCAGTTGAGACTGAGCCACACTGTCTGCGAAACTCACTCTCAGACCTCGCGACTTGGACGACAGACTCTTAGACGACTGATCCTGCTGTTAACATAAAGTGTTAATAACAATAAAAAAAAAACATATTTAAAACAAACTGGACCTTTTTAAGCACCAGATTAATATGTACACTTTTCTTAAAATGGAGGTTGGATTTTAATATTTTAGGCCAATAGTATTCCTTCTCTTTCCGAATTTGGATGGCTTGGAAAAGCACCTTGACAAAACAAACACTACTTTTTCCTCGGTAGATCACACATCAAAATAATGAAACAAGTCATACGCAACCCGTTTGTCTAGCGTTACTCAGTACAGTGGAACCTTGATAAGAAGACCCTCGATAACAAGTCACCCTTGATAACAAGTGTCATTTTCAAATCCTCTTAAAATTATTCTACCCCTAATCACATGTTATTACAAACCTCGATAAGAAGTCAACCTTGATAACAAGTCTTATTTTACAATCCCCATGAGAGTCTTGTTATCAAGGTTCTACTACATATTGATGTCATTGTTGCATTATTATATGTATACATAATTATATGTATTAGCTAGCTTATTAATCTAGTCTAACAAGGTTAATGTGTAACCCTATGTTACCATAATATGTGACCATGTAACACATATTATGGTATGCAATTGTTTTTGCATGATTGTTTTGCTCAAGGACAATAAAGGATTTTTGATTTCCTTAATTTATTGCTCAGTATAGTACTGTAGGGTATTACCCATAGGGTGTTTTGAAACATATCCATTCAATTTGGGATTTAGATAGTTTGGCCTTTTTTGAGTGAAGCTCTTTGGTATCAGCTTCCATGTAAAATTCTTACACCATCCCCCAACAACGGCTGAACATATTTCCCCTAAACCTACCAAGGTTGTTTCAACAAATGGTGGGGAAGGTTTGTGAGGAAACGTATTACGATTTTTTATTGCAAGTACAATAATAATTGGGTTGTCATGACGGTTAGGAAACAAACGTATGGCAATTCGGGTGGGGGGGGGGAGGGGGGTGATTTTTGTAATAAGGGACCCAGTCTGAATATTTTTACAGGACCCCGTACCACCTACGGTTAGCTCTGAGGTATAGTAAATTTTTTCCCTGCAAAAAGTTATTTTTCCCTTCAAAATGTCTACCTGACTGAGTTCCTCCACTCGCTGCTGCAGCTGGTCTATGTCTGCATTTTTCTCCGCCAACATGACTTCAATGAGTTGTGGGAAGCTCACATTGTCCTCAGTGCGGTACTTCTCCACCATTGCCTGTTAAACAATAAACCCTTTAAGTGCCTCAACATTGTACAAACTAAGCTGAAACTAATTGTTTTTTACAATAATACTTGGATTTCTGAGGTATGAATTCTTTATCCTCCTACTATACTGATTGAGCTCACAAAAGATATAAATATTAATGGATTCCTGAATTATCAACAGAATTGCAATGTTATACGCCAACCAACCCAAACATGACATTTATTTATGATTTCGTTGTAGTGCTAGATAGGCTAACAACACCTTTTCCGATATGTCCAAGAGGATATGTCAGGTTATCAAAATAATTTTTACGACAATGATTTTTAATATGAAGGGATTGTTTTCTAGTCTACACTACAACTGGTTGAAAAGATATGTTTTGATATTAACATTTTTAGTAGCCTACAAAAGGAAATGGGTTGAGACCACGATTTTATATCTGGTGGAATTTACAGTAACAGTAATTAGCAAAATTCAATTTTACAAGGGCAGCCAATTTTAACAAGTAAACATTGTAAAGCTGATGGGCCTACACATAGGCTACTCACAGATCACAGACCCTAGGAAATTTGTCATAACAAAACAACCGTCATTACTATTAGTTCTCACCTGCAACTGTAGTTTCTCAGCCCTCATTGTCTCCAGGTCTCGGGTTAGTTTCTCCACAAGCTCATGCTGATGATCTGACATGTTTCGGATCTTCGACTCATGACTCTGAATCACACCTTCAGACCGTTCTAGCTTTTGTTTCAATTTCTCAAGCTGTGAAAGTAAAGTGCAGTACAGTAAGTAGTATCCTCTAAAGCTTTAAAATGCATTGGCTCCTAAATTTATACTTATACAGTAGAGGATATTTTGTAATTTAGAAATCAGCTAGAACCAAAAGTGACATAGTAGGCTGTGTAGATTTGTAAATTCATCAGTGAAGTATTCTTATCTTTAGGAATACTACTAGAAGTATTCAGACTACAGAAGTAGGTATTCTGTCTTCTGATTATTTCCATTATTGTACACTACACTTAACAAAATCTTCAACAACATAGTCAATGTGACACAACCTATGTTCTCCAAATTTCTCTCAATTTCCAGGCCAATTACAGTTAAGTTAGCCTTACTTAGGTTAATGACAATATTTATGATATGCACTATGGAATTGGAACATATATTAGCAATAATATTAACGGCCATTTTCAGAGTGTAAAAGATTCATTTTTTTCTTCGTCAAAATGCTTAAAATGACGACTTTGCAAGTATAATTTTACAAACCCCGATCCCCTTTTCCGCTGGGGTTATCCCTTAGGTTGTTAGGTTGTTAATTTAGGTTGTTAAACGAGGCCTCACATTTTATAAAGACGGCTCTGGCTTCAACGTGAACGCATGTTTTTGTTGATCGGCTCTAGGACAACCACTGTTTAGCCTGGCATCTGACGGACAACAAAAATGCAAAATTATTGACTCCTGCCAACTCTTAAAGTGATATTTAGACTCATAGACTGATTGATATTCACCAGTGTATCACTTAGACATTTTAGCCACATTGTTGGGGTTTTCAAACCCTATTGCTTGCTCAGATACCTTATTGGTACCCAATTGTAAACTTAAGGTACCTCTGAACATATTTTAGAAAGAGTTTGGAGCAGGTACCTTGCGCTGAGTGTCACACAGCCGTTCAGACAGTTCCTTGTTCTGCTGCTCCAACTGTAATGCCCTCTGTGTGAGAGGCTGGGTGACTGAGGCGATCTCCTTGTCACTTCTTACTCTCAGCTCCTCTACCTGAACATATGAAATTATCTTAAAGTTGAGCTCAATATCTTGACAGGTAGCTATCCTTTCCCCGTGTAAATTGATTCAGTTTACAATAACTAGTCAATTGAATGATAATGCTGTCATTTTTTTAGAAAATAAGTTTGTAAACTAGAATTTATTACAGGGTGTCCACAAAACTGATTCTCTTAAATTCCTTTATCAGCTAATCTGGTAATTGAAGAAATCTCACTGGATATTGGATGGAACTATTGGAATGAACATTGCGGTTAAGATTTATTTAAATATTATGTTTGATATAAGAGTATAACATTTTATTACAGAATTCAGAGTGGAAATCAAAGTTGGTACCTTGTTGGTCAGTGATGCAACTTGCATGAGAGCTCTCTCCCTCTGGTTTTGAAGGACATCATGTTCTGTCTGTAGTTCCTGAATAAAAAAAAAATAGTCATGAAGATAAACAATTATTATTAGAAATATGATGAGAATAAGCTGTATTATTTTATTTTCTAAAGTTATAAACAAGAATTGTTTTATTGTTGATTACTGCTATTCGTTACTTAAAGCATGATTTTTTGAAACATGTTAAATGAAGCATGTTAAAGAATAAATATTCTTATCTCTCAGATTCAAATTGCAATAGCTCTTCCTAAAAAACCAAACAGACAGCTGAATTTTCGGTTAAAAAGTAATAAGAGGTTGGTAGCCTCTCTTAACCTTGCATTTGTCCGTCCACATGAAAACACGTGGAACGTACAGTAAAGCCAAAGTTGAGCCAGTAAAATACAAGAATGAAATTTAGAAAAAATTTAAGTGGAAAACATAAAAAAATTGCAGCTTTGGTTTCACAATCTGACACGCTACCAATCGTAGCTACCAACTCACATTAAATAATATTTAAAACCAAATTTCAGTTCAATCTTGATGAAGAACATGAACTACTTTATTGTAACCAAAATTTGAAAAATCATCAGACAGCAATGGTGTTACATATTTTACAAAACATTAAGGATGATAACGATTCTACGTGTATCCAAAAAGTACACCCGCTGCAGCAAACCGGCAGACTAAGCAAAAAAGTAAGAAAGTCACTTATTAGCTTTACTCACCTCATTTTGAGCCCTCAACCTGTTGATCTGCATGTCACGGTCTCGTAGTTTTTTTATGACATTTTCCGCAGCACGGGAGTAACGCAGCAGTCTCTCACTGAGCAGCTCAAACTCCTCGAGGGGGGGACAGGGAGGGGAGGGAGGACAGTGGGTCTCCGGCGTCAAGCATCTTAGCACCTCCAGCTGGTCCCTGCGTTTAAAATATTCAGATAGAGAAAATGCTTTTCTGTTTGACAAAGGATTCCAAAAATGTTTTTCACTAGCATTGTGGTACAAAATTACCATGGGCATCAATTTGTATAAATTCTGATGAATTATTTTTACTTATTTGAGATTCCAGTTACCCAACTGTCCTACTGCCAATGGGTTACCATCAATCAATGATGGTATTAAAGTAGAAAAAGGTAGCATTTCCAATTTATTACAAACATGTGGCTCTAAATGGTTTGAAAACGGGTATACTTCAATAATGATTAACATGTTTACAATCATTATAATTTTTTCTGTTATCAGTCTTTGCTGGCACAACCGGTTTTGCTTGGATGATCAGGACTCTATAAAGTATGTGATTCAAGAATACAAACCTGATGGAAACATCCTCCGATGGTGAGCTCAGACTGGCGCTGGACACATGAATATTGACAGCTTCTAACTCCTTGATGTGGCGCTCCATGGACTTGGCCAGTGTTCTCAACTGTCAAAAAACAATTCTGTTTGAACTGAATAGTAAAAGGAAATAAACTTAGAAAAAATTGACAAAAAAAATACTTTCTCCATACACTTGCGTATAGAAAGAAAAACAAATGTAATTACAAAACACACATTTTTTTTTTGTCAATCAATTCAATTTATTTATTTATTTGGAAAATCTCAAAAATATTACAACATTTCATAAACAAAGCTTGCTGCAAAAGCCAGGAAAAATTGGCTTGTCTGCAGCTCATAGAGATAAACTTGTTCTAGATAACAATGTACTTTGTCCCTTGGTCAGTCTTCTCCATATTACACTCTGGTTTTCCTTGTTTCTTGTCAAGATCTGCTATTTGTTGTTTTGACTTATTCTCTACCTTTCTATATAAGACTAGCTTGCTTTAAAAACAACTTGAAACAATTATCTTAAATAAATAAAATATATAACAATAAATAACATGCATTAAATACTTATCAACTTTAACAATAATATAATGAAATAATTTTTTTAACAATACAACAATACATAACTAAATAAATAATTAAATAATTTATAATAACAACAATATTAAACCAGTTTTAATGGATTCCTTGAGATGACAGTACTAAAATAAATAACATTCATGAGTTAGTAATACTACATTGTAAAAACTAGAATCATGAGCAAACAAAAATTCCTGCTCACCTGAGACTTGACTTGTCTGAGAACACTGGCACGACTGTTCTGCTGCACTGGCTGCTCCTCGTCGGTGTCTGTGCAGTCCCGCAGATTGTGCAACTGTTGCAGAGTGTCTGCGTTGCTGCGCACCTGCTCAGTCAGCTGAGTCTGCGTCTCCACCAACCGTGCTTCCAACACAGCCTCCCTCTCACAGTGACGTGACACTTGGGATTCTAGCTCCTCTATGATCTCTCGCAGCGTCCATACCTGTACAGGATAGTTATACTCAGATGGTTTGGTGGTTGTGTTTCATTGACATTAAAATGTAAAACTTGTAGATATTGCAGCAGTAGATTCATTAATGCAATATCAAAATCAAGTCTTAAATGTCTGGATGCAAGTGGTCGTGGTGTTCAGCTTCAGATCTGAAGGACCCTGACGCCAAGGAACATTCATCAGAGAACACATTCGTAGCTTCTGCATCTGTTATTGGTGAGGTTGCTGGAACCATGGTGGGCGACTGTACAGCTACAAGAGATTCAAAGAAGTAATAATCTTGAGTTCATGGCTGATACACACTGTTTATACAACTCTCTCCAATATCCGCTAATGTTCTGGAAGGGATAAGACGGATATTGCATATATTTATTAATATTAAGTGTATTGTCTGATGATTAGATGTGATCCGGATATCGCCATCCAACTGAGCAGTGATCTTTGTCTAGATGGTCAACGAGTGCGTGTTGTTAGAAAGCAAAGACTACGATATTCACAATATATTCAACGGAAGGTGTGTGCCAGCATTGTTCACAGCGCTTAATTCCTATTTACGTTATTTACCACAGTCTTAAACACTTGCTATAAGTTAGCTAAATTTTTAATTTTGATTAACAAAATATTAATTACAATTAATTAATTTAGGCCTATTTAGCAATAACATTTGCAAGGTAAGCAAGTAAGTTTACTACTCTATAATTATTCCCGAATGGATTTACCTTTTCAATGGCGGTTTTGCACTCTTTCTCCAACTGTTCTTTTTTCTCTTCTGATTCTTTCAATCGCTCCGATGTTTCTTTTACTTGAAGTTCCAGTGCATCAACCTAAAAAGTCCAAAAGCAACTTGAAATACAGATAAGACATTTAAAGATAATATTTTTTAAATGAAAAAGTTAAAAGGTATTATATATTTAATGAACTTTTCATTAGGGCTGCTCTATACAGGAATTTCTCAGATTTTACAAACATTATTCATTGCCTCCTGCCTCCTTGCAAAGAGTAGTCTATTAGCTACCTAGTGTACTCCATGAAGCATCTACAAAAGTACAAGCGTTTATAACACCCGTGGTTACACAGGTAATAAATGGCATTGCCCATAGTAGGATTTAGAAAAAACATTTGAATGATGTGATATTTTATACTTTAAAATATATATCTAAATCAGGGATGAAATTATTGATATGCTCTTTGGTATTGGAACTTTGTAGGCGATTAGATAATTGAAAGATGTAATTGGTTACTCTTTACAATTTAAATCATGCCCAACTTCACTGGGCTTAAGAGGCTTAAGCTACATTCTATTTATATTCATGTGAAAATAGACATATTATAGTCATAGATGTTTTTAGAAAATTACCAGAAAAATTCTAAATATCACAATATTAAATTAACACAATGTTAAAAGTTAAAACATTTATGTTGTCTTAAGATTAAAATATACACCCAAGTTAAACAAATTAACAATAATTAGTGACTTTGACAAAAGAAGATATTGGCATATTTTATTACATAATAAATAGTCGATACAAAAGCAAACCTTCTATCCCATTTAAAACATGGCCATTAAAAAATCCAGGCCTAGATCCCATTCCAAAACCATTTTCCCTCAAAGACAACTAGAATACACTTATCTAATAAAGTCTACTTTTCATAATTTTATCAGAAATAATAATATATATTTGACATTCATCTTAAAAAAAAATAGCCACCAATTTGTTGTCTTTATGTTAAGGTATAACTTGAAATAGTAAATCTGCTAAGGACGGTGACAGTAAACTAAAGATGATGGAGCAAAGTCTTTTAAAAAATCTGCAAAAATAAGTAACAAGTTTTATGAAAACCAAAAGGTTTTCAAAATGAGTTTTAAAGCATTTCATAGCATTAATAAAATGTTATATTGCAAGTAACAAAGCAAGTGTAAAAGCGAATTTGAAAGTGAAAAGCGCTAAGTGTAGCATGCAGTAAACTCACTCGTGGGCAATGATCCGCAGTAGCAGGCATAAGTGGAGGTTGCTCCTTCGTACACTAGAGTGCGAAAACAGATAGTGCCAGTGAACCAAACCAAACCAACCACCATTACCAGCGGTAATACTTTGACAGTGCAATACATTTCAAGGGAGAGCCAAACGCCATTTGAGCAATTTACGGAAAGGGGCAGAGTTCAGCTAGCTTACCAGGCTAAATTACTGGGCGAGGACCTTTAGATACACAATAAAAGGCCACAGGACATAGATCCTAGTACTTTTCCAGAGAGTGGATTCACTTTTCAAACTAAGACAAAATATCAGTGATGTGTAAAATGAAAATGTGCTTTCATTGTGTATCTACTTTTCCCAAGTAAAATAGCTGAGTTCTACCCATTTCTATAGAGACTTCTTATACATCACATTAATGTTTTACAAACATCTTCATAATTTAAATAAAAGAAATGTTGTAAAAACTTATTTTTACTCTATATTTGAAGTCATACTAAAATTGTGTTGGTATAAAAAACAATAAAAAGAACACAAAAGTAGGAAAACATATATCACCTCATTTTAAATACATGGTAAACAATACATATAATAATAAGGTACTATTTCTTTTACTAAAGTCATTTGTTGGTGATGGAGATTGTTGTTTTAACGATCATTGCAGGAATTTGCATTTTTATATCACAGTTTATTGGAGTGATTAGAGGGATAATGGCATGTAAAAAATCTGAATAGAAAAAAATAAACTTATGCTCTACAAAACAATAGTAGACAATGCCAGCAATAATCGTCTTAACAAGGCTTCAATAAATTTTCACTGTTCAATGTCAAAATATTATGCTAGATTATATACTCATGCTTTGACAGTGGTTAATTTGGCACAAAATTTAGGGAACCAAGTAAAAGTTATAGGCCTACGGATATTTGGGTCATATTTCTTAATAAAAAAGATTTTCATCCGTTAGTTTATAAGAACGACCCAAGTCATGAGTACTATTCAAGCATTATTTATAAACATAATTTCAAATAAAGAATCAAGAGTTCATTTTGATATTAAGATGTCAATTAATTTTAAATCATGGCATACCTACTACTATACCATCCACCATTGTTTTCAATAAGGGGAGTCGCTACTGAAAAACTACCAATTTTGTAAAAAACTTTATTTTTTTATTATTTTTTTATCTTGTTCTATGGATTGTAAGGTTTCAGAAAAACATAACATTTGGTATAATATATATTTTTATCACTGTGAAAAAAATATTTGAAGTGAAGCGTGCACACCTCTTTTGGGGCATCAACTAGGCCTAGTATAAACTTCAACCGCTGTTTTCCGCGACTTTAAAATTTAGTTTTTTTTATATATAAGTTTTTATAACTTTTTAACTATTACAGCTATATGAATGAAATTTTTACCACACATTGTTTATACTATAAATCAACTTTCTGTGCATGGATATTGTAATTGGGTAAATAAAAGTACGTGAAAAAAATGTATAAAAATTTGTAACCTATATATTTTTCTAAAACTTATTTTTGAAGCCATAACTTATAAACTAATTGAGAAAATAACTTGAGTATGCACAGAAAGTATGTGCTTTCTTTGCTCTTTAAAATAAGATATCGAACAATAAAATTGGTTCAGTAGTTAAATAGTTATAAGAGATTTAAAAAACCCCATTTTTCCCCGCCAAAAAACTTAAAAAACTCCAAAAAGTATGTAAAAAATTTTTTTTTTTTTACTTTAACGGCAGTAAATCTTTTTCTAAGACTAAATGAACTTAAAAAAGTATATATGATAATTTTTAAAAGGATTTTATTAAAAATCACTAGTTTCAGTAGTGACTCGCCACACATTTGTACCATTACCTTTCCCTCATTTACATTAGATACGTATTGGTTTATTTAGTAAGGGTTAACAGAGCTTTACAAGGCTACCATTAGCTTTGACTATGACAATAATATTAGTAGCATTTCCAATTTTGCAAAAAAAAAATAATGTGATACTGTGCAATGTTAGTTAAACTTCTAAATACAAGTTGAGTGAAGCGGGTGAAGTTTATTATAAAAGTCATTTTGAAGTTATCTACTCTTCTAAAAAATAAGGAGCCTATCTACTGAAAGTGGAAAGGAAGGATGGCATGAGGTGAAGAAGAATGTGGTAAAGAGAGGAATAAGATGGTTGGTGATGGAGGCAAAGGAACTGTGGAGGGTTTTGAAAGGGGAGAGGTCTAGTCAACCAAGACATGGGAATAACTAGAACTAGGGATGTGATGATTCTCAATACCAATTATATACACCAACGATTCTTGGGCATTGGTATCAGTCTCGGGATTTGATCGTCAAGAATCGATACTGATCACAATACCCAACACGCCTGCAAAAATTGCACAATCCAAAATTCATGCTTTTGCCACGATTGAAAATGACGATGATGTTGTTTCTTTGACCGCTGGATACAACAATGATGTTTACATGGTGGTAGGATAAATTCATGATTTGTACAATCGTGGAAGACGATGATGATGTCTACACAACAGCAGGAGATGTTCATGATTTTGCCGCGATCGTGTAAGACGATAACGATGATCTGGTGACCAAATTATATTCAGGGTATTTCTAAGATCGAGGGAGATGATGATGTTTCCAATACCGTGATAGATTTTCAGGATTCGCCCATAACCCCAGGAGGCGATAATGTTTCCATGACCAAGGAAGATATTCAGGATTTAGCACCGATCACAGAAAGGTGACAAAGACGACTCCATGACCGTGGGAGATGATCACGGTATTACTTCGAGCTCGGCTTGATTGCAAATGTCAGGTTGGCACACCTCCACTTACTACTAATACAGTGAACTCCCTCCTCCCTCCTCGGGACCGAGGCCAGTCCGGATAACGGATTTTCCGGTTAAACCGACGTCCCCAAAAACTCGTTAATAAACTATACAGCCCGATGTGTAACTCACTCATTCACTGATCAGGTATACTAATTCTAGACCACTTCTAGATGAGCTAGAGACTTGAAATTTTCGGCGTTTTGTAGGTCTAGTGCCCAAACCCCCGGGAAATCCCGAAAAGTCGCATTTTCCCTTTCCACCCCAAAATTAACAATTTCCCCCCTATGTTATTCTTATGGGAAATAACATTGAAAAATACCGACTTTCGTACGCTCATCTGAACCGTTTAGAAACGTGCTAGAGACTTGAAATTTGCGTAGTATTGTACTATGGGATCTTAAATTAGCGATGAAATTTGCAAAAGGCCCATTTTCAAATTTTAACCCCTCCAAAAATCCAAAATGGCGCACCTCTGAAAACGACAAAACACGTTTTTTTCAACCGGATGTAGCTCGAAAACGGTAAGAGCTAGAAAATATTTGAAAGTATATCCAGGAACAGGAATTAAATTTTGTACAAAACCCTGTTAGGCGTTTTCCTAAAATCGTACTCCTTCAGCTTCAAAAAACGCCCTAATTTCAAAATTTGGTAAATATTTATTACATTTTTACCGGTTTTCGCTATTTTTTCATACTTAAATAATTTATTTTCGCAAATATTATTATAGCTTTGTATTCTCCTTACTTCACTTCAAATTTTACTCACTACATGTTTTTCGTAACTTTACTCCTTGACCCCCAAAACTTAATTTTAATCTAAAAATTTGAAGGGTTTTTGCCACTTTTACGAGCCCCATGTTATTCTTATGGAGAATAACATTGAAAAATGCCGACTTTAGTATGCTCATCTGAACCACTTAGAAACGTGCTAGAGACTTGAAACTTGGTAGTATTGTAGTATGGGATCTTACATTACCGGTGAAATTCCCAAAAGTCCCATTTTCTAATTTTAACCCCCCCAAAAATCCAAAATGGCGGACCTCTGAAAACGAAAAAACACGTTTTTCCCAACCGGATGTAGCGCGAAAACGGTAAGAGCTAGAAAAGATTTGAAAGGATATCCAGGAACAGGAATTAAATTTTATACATAACCCCCTTTGGCGTTTTCCTAAAATCGCACTCCTTCAGCTTCAAAAAACGCCCTACTTTCAAAATTTGGTAAATTTTTATTACATTTTTACCGGTTTTCGCAATGTTTTCATACTAAAATATTTTTTTTTTTTTATTATTATTGCTTTGTATGCTCCTTACTTTACTTTAAATTTTACTCATTACATGTTTTTTCGTAACTTTACTCCTTGACCTCCAAAACTTAATTTTAATCTCAAAATTTGAAGATTTTTTGCCATTTATACGAGCCCCATGTTATTCTTATGGAGAATAAGATTGAAATATAATGACTTTGGTATGGTCATATGAATTGTTTAGAAACGTGCTAGAGACTTGTAATTTGGTAGTATTGTAGTATAGGATCCTAATTTAAGAGTGAAATTTGCAAAAGTCACATTTAAAAATTTTAACCTCCCCGAAAATTCAAAATGGTGGACATCTAAAAACGACAAAACACGTTTTTTTTTAAACAGCTATAGCTCGGAAACGGTAGGAGCTAGAAAAGATTTGAAAGAATTTTCATCGTCAGGAATTAAATTTTCTACAAAACCTTTTTCAGCGTTTTCCGAAAATCACACTCCTTCAGCTTAAAAAAACGCCCTACTTTCAAAATTTTGTTAATTTCTTTCAAATTGTTTACGGGTTTCGCAATTTTTTCATACTTAAATAATTCTTTTTTGCAAATATTATTACTAATTTGTATTATTCTTAATTTACTTTAAATTTTACTCATTTAATGTTTTTTAGTATCTTTACTCCTTAACCCCCAAAACTTAGGTTAAATGTCAAAGTTTGAAGATTTTTTACCACTTTTACGAGCCCCATGTTATTCTTATGGAGAATAACATTGAAAGTGGCCAACTTTGGTATGCTCATCTGAATTGTTTAGAAACGTGCTAGAGACTTGAAATTTGGTAGTATTGTAGTATGGTATCTTAAATTATCGGAGAAATTTGCAAAAGTCCCATTTTCAAATTTTGAACTCCTAAAAAATTCAAAATGGCGGACATGTAAAAACGACAAAACACGTTTTTTTCAAACGGCTCAATTGCAGGTCTTGCGCCATGGCCCATTTATTTTTACCCCCAACCAAAAAAGGGGCCTGGGGGCGGAGCCCCCAGCGAGCCAAAGGCGAGTTGTGTTTATACTCGTGATCGCTGGTCTCAAATCTTTCCCACGAGAGCAGTGGTTTCAGTACCGCCCACTTCCTGCCGATCAAGTCCGGTTAAACCGATGTGCTGATAAAAACTGTCCAGTTAAAGGGATGACAATTCCGCTGAGTGTAGTCTGGTTAAACCGATGTCCGGTTAAAAGGTGTCTGGATAAAAGGGAGTCTACTGTATAGCCTAATAATATGATAGCCTAATGGAAATTTATTTTAATATTTGTTTGTTAGATCTTAATTTACCTACCCTAGATATAATTTTTTTCAATGTATTTAGAAGGGTATGAATTATAATTGGCCAGTTAGAATTAGTTAAAATGATATAGAGACAAAGAATTGGCCAGTTAGAATTAGTAAAAAGGAATAAAGACAGGGAGTAAAAATGAGATCGGCATCGAGAACAGATTTTGCAGGTGTCAGTATTGGTATGGAGAATCACATCCCTAATTGGAACAAAAACAGTACTTGTGTATTTTTGTAGTTCTAAGGTGCATTGGATTTTGTATATTAGTGCCTTCTAGTAAAAGTTAGGGAAAGTATATATTTCAACAAAAAAATGATTAATACAAAATGTTATTAAAAAATATGTAGGGATGGTATTGTAAATTTTTTGCATTTGCTAACTTTTATTAAATTGAATAAAGTAAACTGGTATGGTAACCACATGTTTGGCTGAAAATATCATTCCCTCAAAGTGATATGTATGCGATAGTTATTCTAAAAGTTAATGATGTTTTTTTCTTTAATATTACAAGACAAGGATGTTAATAAACTAGTGACTACTAGCGTCTTGTTGGTAAACCAATGTATTGTTGCTACAGGTAACTTACCTCTGTGGCAATGTGTCGGTTAGAAGTAAATTCTCTATCTTTCTCTCGCAGTATCTCATTGAGACGACAGATCTCTTTGCCAAACTCATCTCGTTCCTGCTCCCTGTCCATCGCTTGCTCCTCGAGAAAAGCTCGAGTACTGCGTAACTGCTTGTCCGCTGCCTCCACCTAAGAGTGTTGTTAACACATAGGGTAATATCTATGTAACACTTACGGTGAGCCAGTAATATCTTTGTAACACTTACGGTGAACCAGTAATATCTATGTGACACTTACGGTGAACCAGTAATATCTATTTAACACTTACGGTGAACCAGTAATATATATGTAACACTTACAGTGAACCAGTAATATCTATGTAACACTTACGGTGAACCAGTAATATCTATCTGTAACACTTACAGTGAACCAGTAATATCTATGTAACACTTACGGTGAACCAGTAATATCTATGTTACACATAAGGTGAGCCAGTAATATCTATGTAACACTTACGGTGAGCCAGTAATATCTATGTAACACTTACAGTGAACCAGTAATATCTATGTAACACTTACAGTGAACCAGTAATATCTATGTAACACTAATGGTGAACCAGTAATATCTAGGTAACACTTACGGTGAACCAGTAATATCTATGTATAACTTACGGTGAACCAGTAATATGTACGTAACTGGCCACTGATTTTTCAAAGCAAACACTTTTAGTTAGAGATGTAAAAAAACCCCCACAAAAGCAATGAATTGTATCTACATTCTATTTGTTTTTGAAAACATAATAGCAAACAGGTTCTAATAAAAACTTACATGTGTGTGATACACAAAATATTAAGCAAGTTTCTCCCAGTTTATAAAATATACTACCTTCCTTAACTAGGCGTAGGTTATAAATAATAAAAAATTGGAGTAGTGTCTTGAAGTGAATAAAAGAGATGTTGGTTGGAAACAAGCATTTGAGTAATTTCATTGATTATTTTAGCTATGGCTGAACAACCCAACAATTACAAATCTGTCAGAGAAAATCAAGTACTACATTGGTTCTACTATACGTCGACACTTTGTTTCTTACAAATATTATAAGTAGTGAATTAAAATATTGCAATCATTTTTCAGGGAAAAACTAAATTTGAGAATGTGCAATGGATTTGCATAAACTTCAAAAGTACAAGCACTTGTCATCTGGTGGCCATCCACCACATTGGAAACATTGGATACATTGGAAAGTGTTTTGCAATTTTCATTGTGGAACTATTACAGCATGAAAAAGGCTCTGAGCAACTGAATTCTTCACTCATCGTTGAAAGACAACACAGTTGTTTTTTTCTTAAAATGTGTTTACATAAACTGTATGATACAATTACCTTGATAGTAAGATTAAACAAATTAAGATTAAAATAAAGTTTTATCAAATTATATATTCTATATGCCTAGGTTGGGTTAGGTTGTCTCACCTCTAGTTTCAACTCGTCCCTTTCCCGCCATGCCTCCTCCAACAAAGAGTCGCCCTCCGAACACAACTCTTCTATGAGACCGAGCCACACACTCGGACATTCGCCCTTCTCACTTAACAGGGCACGTGCTGAAAAATGTTATGGAACGTCATTACGTCAGTCACAAAAATTCACAAGATAAAACATTCTTTGAAATATGATAGTCAAAATTACACTGGTGTTAACTTAAATTGTAATTAAATAATCTAGCTAGGATTCATATTGACTTTGGAAAACATCAAAGTTATATACAGTTAAGCCTGCGAATAACTGGCTTATAAGTATGTATCATTGTGTAATGTTCCAAATTGTACAATAAAGGACAATTCACTTCATTTCATTTCAACTAGCTTATAAAACTGGGCTGTTGTAAATTATCTAATACGCTACATTAATAAGTTGTATGTTAGTGTTCAACAGCATGGTAGACAAAATGCCAAACTATGAAGTAGTTTTACCAAACTATGAAGTAGTTTATAACCACCTTTCTCTTGAAGATGACACAAGTTCTGAACCCTCTCTTCAGTCTGCTTTTCACTGAATTCCGTCTCAGCTGTCACTTTCTCTTTGATCATCCGATCCTTTGTCTCCGTCAATTCTTTGTGCAGCTCATTCAATTCCTAAAACCAACCATAGTGATGAATTGATGGAAAATATGTGTTATTTTTGCCGCTGTCATCATTAACAGACATAATGGTAAAACAACTAAATAAACTCTATAATTTTCAAAAACTAGTTAGGGCAGGTATAAAAGAATGCATTTATACTCATTTCTCTTTTTAGATTACTTTACCTACAATGAAAAATTTTTTCTTGCTAATTAGTTATTGTTACTATTTAACTAGTGAATCTTACTTTTTCATATTTATTGACAAGCTCTTGCAATTCCTGGACATCTCTGTAGGCTTTTTCTTTAGCCTTCTTCTCTTCAATGAGTTGACGGGTCAGGGAGGTCATTCGTCTGTCTTCAACTGTCGATGGCAATGCTTCTCTACCCTGATATGGAAAAAGTAAAAGCAATTTTGAAATACCTTGATCCAGTGTATTTTTTAGTAAAATATTAATAGCTTAGTATAAAATAAATAATTTTTTTGGTGTATTTTTGAGGTTATGTAACATGGTTTTACATGCAACAATTCACCGGTCACCTAAACTGACATAAATTGTTTACTTCTATGGCCGGAAACTAAACATTCAAGTTGAATCCTGTTTAAGGTCATTCGCCCGTGACGATATGACTTGTCCCCATGAGACCGGGCCGGACCATCCAGCAGCCTAACCAACCGAAGCCGAACTAGAGGGAGTCTACTGTACTTTCAAATTGTCAGATAAAGTGACTATGCCAACTTTTCGTGCAAAGCACTAGAGGCTATTGCAGTTGTAGCACGATTGGAAACACCATAACGATTGCCAACCAAAACCGTAGAGTTAAGGTTCATCCTCAATTGACAACAATAGGTATTTTTTTGGAAGTTTAGGTAAAGATTTTTGTTTGCTGTCACTAGAATCATAAGTTTTAGTTTGTGAGCACAGGGATCATTACCATCCTGTTGTTCAATTTCGGAATCACATAGCCAATGACCCAAAAGTGCCGCGCTAGAGTGAATTTGTATTGCTATGCGCGACCGGAAGATCAATTCTGACTTCCTCTGTTGTTTTTGTTATGTTACTATCAGAATGTGTACAAGTAGATTTTCTGTATAATATTTTGATATAGAATATTATATTTTAAATAAAACTTGTACAAAATTATGTTTTTCTTGATTTTTGGCAATATTTGCAGCCGATGCGCATCCGGATGATATTAACATACAATACAATACTATTATTTAAATATCAATTTCGTAGTATTTAGTAGATGTCATTTTAAACTATTATAACTATTATAATAAAAAATAAAAATTTAAAAATTGTAAACATTTTTGGAAAAAAATTAGTTTTTCATTTTTTGTTCAAACATTAGAGCATGCGCAACCGGAAGCTAACTACCAATATTTTTAATATTTTTACCCGGTTTTGGTCTTACAATTTAGCAGCTTTTCCAAGGTATTACAACTTAAAAAAAAATTATTGATATTTTTTGTGATATTATTGTGCGAATATTTGGTAATTTACTTTTTCTATTTTTATGGTGCAGTGGTAGAACATTATTATAGCTATGGTAGATGTGTTATACTATAACATACCATAAATTAAAAGATCCAAATTTTCTCAAACCGTGTCCTTCCCCATTACAAACCACAAAGCACGAGTATAACAACTGCAATAAGCATTTTATACTGCTTATACGCCAACCCCGTACAAAGGATGGGTACTCTGCTAGTAAATATATAAATAAATTTGAGCGAATGGTATTTTTGGCCTCTGGGGACATCAAAACAAAAAAGAAAATTGGTCCTGGGCCTAGGTCTTACCGTGCCAACTACAGTAATAGCTACTTCCCTATAGGGAAATTCGCTAACAGTGTAATCAGTTTTTGTGTGTTTGGACTTCAAAAACTTAACTTTTCATAAGACTAATTAGCAATAAAACAATTTAATCTGGCACTAAATTGAAAAAATATAAATTGTGCCAATAGTCTTTTCCCAAATAAAATTTAAATATTTTTAATGCATGGGATGATTTTCTTTATAGACAAAACATAACAAAATATTCTAAATAGTATGCACCAAGCACAGTTCACACTACAAGAATCACATATAACACACTGTTACAAGATTAGCAAACAGTCCTTGAGTAAGGGATTTATAACTGTTTGCCAAGATCACTAAAAAGCTCAGATTCCATCTTCTGAGGCAGTGTGTCCATATCATTTTGGTAAGAAAATATTTCAGTGGAGCATACATTTATTAGTAGTAAGCTAGGAACCTATTTACACGTAATATTTAAAATCCAATAAGCAAATTATAATGAAATTGAAGATGATTTAATTTAGAAACGTATAGCTGACGATGGTGTTTTGTTTTAACACCAAAACATGTTCTTAATTGACATTTTGTTGGAAATTGCGTAATTTAGTCTCACACAATAGGTAACAGTTCAAAATTACTAAAGCACATAACATGATTTTGAACATGTATCTTTAAACTTTCTACCACACCCTATGACTCAAGGACTATGAGAACTACTAAAATATAGTTTGCTTGAAATCTGATATAGTAATCTACAATGTTAGCTGCTTTATTTACCTACTAAGCTGACATGGTTTGTAATGAAATAAACATGATAACAGTAGCCTAAGTTATAAAAAAAAAACCAGTGAAACCAACCGCATATAAAAATGAGCCTACTGGCCTTATTTTCTTGAATTTTCTCTGAATTGCATATGAATACTGAAATTCTACCAATTTCTTCAACACTCACATTGGACAGACCCAGGAGAGCACTCGCCTCGTCCCGTAGTCTCTCCAGGCAGTGCTCCAGCTCAGTGTGGAAGTGTACCGAGAGATCCAGAGTGCCGTTAGTGTCAAACAGATGATTCTCGTCCATCAGAGCCACAATGTGCGACACATTCGGGGCAAAGTGAACCTTCCGCTGTGACTGCGTCTCTGGTTCAGAGTCACTGGTATCATCCACCACGCTTATCTGGACCTGCGACTGATGACAAAACAATCAGACAATGTAAGGATTACAACAGTTATGAGCTTTTACAGAAATGTATCATATATTGTCCTATACTGGCTGTGTGTGTCCCTTTTTTGAGAAAATATACCCCTGTATATACTCTTTCTGTCTTAGTATAAACCTTTTTTTTTTATTTAGTACTCCATACACAAACCTCATTATCTTTTCTCATATAAAAAACCTAAAATCTTATGACTCTATAAAAACATCAATCAAAATTAGGCATCCATTGAGTCAGGAATTAAATATGGTTAAATTTAGCTGATTGAAATGTATTCTCACATTCTTGTCAAACAGAAGAATAATATTATAATTTTAAATTATAATGGACTAAGAAGTGTAAATGTTTTTTTATGTGCAAAATTAGTACCTATCAAGATAACCATTAAGCAGCCAGTGTTGAGCTCTAGGCAGAAGCCCACGTGATAATTTTGATATATGTAATGCGGCATTATTATTTGTTAACATAAAGATTGATTTGATTATATTTGTCTTGTGACAGATAATCTAGCCAAATAAAAATTAAATTTGTTTAAATTATTGTATGACATACATCTTACATTTTCCTATAGGTTTCATGAGAATTGAGGTTATAGTCTCCACAAAATGTTTAGTGACCGCACAGCGTTGCAGTTTAAACAGACAGAATCACAAAAATACACAAAAGGGTGTAAACAACATGTACCACTTGAGACGTTTATTTTCTAAAAGATCCCGATTGTCCCCTTGATCTTTGCCCCCACCCCCTCCAAACCTGGAAATTGCAGTTGTTCACTTTCTTGGATATAATTCAAATTCTATCCATGCCATCGTATTGAAATTTGATTTGTTTTATTTATAATTAGTTTATCTGCCACTTTTGTACTCGAGGTATTCTTCTAAGAATTATTTTGAAAGATATATTACATGTAAACTTTGGTAATGTTTATGTTTTAGCGTACACAATTTTGTTTTACTCTCTATAATTTTTTTACAAATAAAATACACAAAATGTTACGAACAAAACTTAAGTGCTATGGCATGGAAACACAACAAACCAAGTTTCAAAATCTTTTCAAGTTGACTACACAGAAGAATGGCCTTAGAATTTGCATTTAAAATGTTTTGTTGTATATTTGTTCACTTTTTATTTTCAAACGTGAGTTAGCATTTGGACAGCATTTCAGTGGTTTTCTACACTGTTTATAGCCGTCTACTTTCTACAAGTTCTACAAGTCTACTTTCTAAAAGCTTACCCGGTCTCCGTTGTGAGGGGAGGCAAGTTTGATTAGTTGTCCTACGATGCTTCTGTTCAGTTCATCTTCGCAGGTGGTCAGATAGTTGGCCAACTCCTGCACTACGCGACGTAACATTTGTGTGAGGTTACGCAGATTATCCCTGGATTGCAGAACATTTCTATGATCAGTACAGTATTGATAACATGAAAATGAAAGGTATAAAAAAAGTGATCATAACAAACAACTGGGAAGGTTCGTTATGTGATAGTATACAAAGATAAAGTTTGCTTGATTGCTTGAACTTTTTTCCTGTAAAGAAGCAGATTTTTATATTTTGGAAACAACTAAGTTTTAGAAGGTGTAGAATTTGATCACATTCCTAACTTAGGTATGAGTAAAGTAAAATTTCTCGCCCAACGATTTGACTAAGGTGTATAGTTTAGTACACGAAGGTGTACTACAGTAGGCATTTCATCATAGATGGGTAGGCCAATACGGGGACATGGTTTGGATAGCTCTGATTGCAGGTCAAACATTGACTAGTCTACAGCAGTTCAGCCCCAAAAATATTTATCAACTTACCGCTCCTCTATGACCTTGTCTATACTAGGGTCGCCACTGGTTATCATTGCTACAGGCATTTCTCCAGATTGATTGATCTGAAAATAGTTTTCAAATATTCATAAAATGTACATTACAGTACATATTACTTAGAAAAAACCATTATAACTTATTACACTTAACCTGCAAAAATTAATTTGATGTTAAACATATTCAAGCTTCAAGTGTTCACCTTCTCCTTGACTAACTTAACTTAATAAATAGTATGTCAACCAACAGAATCAAACTAAACATTGTGTAGGTTAGTCATATTATTATAAATTAACTTGAGTTAAGGAAGTCTTTGGATTACATTAATGTTAGTGAATGTTAGTATTGAAAAAGTATATCTAATACACAGCTTGTAACCCTTAAAGTTAGAAGTAGGATATCAATATCATTTTAGCAAAAGGCACCGGTACAACATCACAAATGTTTGCACTAGTGAAAATCTGTTTAGTAACGCAATGTAAACTGTATGAAAGTAGTCTGAAACCTAAGATCAAGTAACCTAGCCTAGCTCATTTAACCTAAACTCATTGTAAACTGGAGAAGTGAGCTCTTTCACGTAACAAGAACTTAAATTTTGTTAATTCTACCACTTGAGATACTACAGCCTACAAACAATAAACAACTAAACCTAGCTTACCTAATTAGCTTTACCAAAATTTAGGGTAGCCTTGATTCACACCAATGTGCTATTCATTCAAAAAATACAATACTAGGATATTAAGTAATCTACATGTGTGCTGCAGTGTTTAGGCTAGGTTAGGTTAATTCAGTTTAGTTTATGGATCTTTGTAAATTTGTCTTATAAGTTAATACTTTCAAAATTGACCTAAAGGTGATTTTTTTTACACTAAAATTTGTTAACTTATACTTTGTAATATATGTAAAAGACTAAAATATACAAAGATAACATAGATTTGTCGGCTATATAAAAATTGACACAACTTCACAACTTTAGGTTTTTTTTATAAATTTTACCTTGTTTGATATTATCATAAACTAATCTAAATAGACTAACTCAACCTAACCGCCACCCAACACAGCTTGAAAAAGTCTTGAAAAGACCCTAAACCAGTTGCTTAAAATATTCGGCAAAACTTTGATATCTGACTTCATCCGATTATCGAACAGTTAGTAAAAGTATCGATTTGATCGATAACCAAACTTAGACTAACCAAATCAAGTAAAAAAATCTTTTATTCAAACAGTACTGGTAAATAAGAGTACAGTTCAAAACCCAAACCTTCTACATTGTTTGTAACAATCAACGCAGTAGAGTCGGATGAGCTTATCAAAGTTTTACCAAATATTCATACTCCATAACGTACATAAATGGATATTCATATTGTGGGAAAACTATATCAGATTATGATTTAGCCTATCGAACTAAGGTTTCTTCCGATAATAATTGTAGGGTTGTCTGCAGAACTGTACCGGTACAGTAGATATACCCTTTATCCTTTAGCAAATGATTATCTTTACAAACACAGCAGGGCAGCACACGTATTAAGTCAGAGTGTAGAGCTAGGCCTACCATTCTCAAATGAGAATGTAAAAGATAATTTCAGAAAAAGATTTTTTTTGTTGATGGAATAGGCCTAAATAAAAATCAAAATTATTTGAAAACTCAAACACCTAACTTAATAGTTTATTCAGATAGTCTAGGCCTAGCCCTGACCAAGGCTAGCTAAATTTTAGATTGGACTTAACATTTTACGTTCATGTATACCTAGTTGAAGATTGGGAAGATTAGTTTGTTTCCTTGATTTTAAATCACAAAATACGCTGTCATTTCCACCCAAATAAAAAGTAAACAAATATATTTAAAAAAATTAGTCAACAAAATTGTAATCAAACAAAGCTAACTTTTAAGAAATAATGAAAATTGGCTACTGGTAGGCCTACTTAATATTTGTAATTTAAAAATTTAACCTACAAATAGAGATACCACTGCTAATATTTTAAATGTACTTTAATTACCTACTTAGCCAAAGAATAACTTCATTAGAACACTGTTACACAAGTAGTATCCTTTAAAATAATGTTGATCATTCTTGATAATCCTTAGTTAAGTTACCCACTAAAAGCTAATTTGTATTATCACAATTCACAATACATATCCCTCCTAAACTAAAAATCTTATCACCAGTAGATAGACAAACAGACAGAAACATTAATCAGCTGATTGTCATGAAAGGGACTGAGATCGAGATTAAGGTTACTCAGTGGTACCAACAAAACTAAAGGATTGACTAGTCTGAAATAAAACCAACTACTATAAACAGTAATAATGTAGGATGGCATATTATAAAAATAAATCTGTTAGAACATTTTAATTTTGAGGGATATTTTAAAAGGGTGGCTACTAGTAATTTTAACATTTTATGTTAAGCTGGTTACACTTATATTAGTTTAATTGCAAGCTTTTCTTAATCTGAGAGTCAAATATTTGAGTCTAGTAAAGATTTTGAATAAATTCTTACTAGTGTACCTGTTGCTCGAATTCGAGCAATTAATTGCGAAGCATTACAGGCGACTCACGAACTACAAATTTTTCCCTCTCATAGCCGCATTAGGTTGTCTATAATAACGATTATAAATGGAAAAAAAAACATTATTTCTTTTCTTCTACTTGGTTGTGTTCTATGACTTTTTCTATGTTTCCATTGTTTGCAAATCGGTTATTTCAATGATTGCTCAAGAAATTTAGCATATTGTTAATTCAGTTTTATTTTTAGCCTATATCAAACTGTCGAGGATTTCTCGCTTTTTCCATTGTAATAATTTCACCAACCCAAGTTTCGTCTACAGATGCAATACGCCAAAGAATATCACCTACGTACAATCTCCAAAAAGTGGTAAAAAAAGGCAGAAACCAAGCCATACAATAGATATAAGTTAACTCCATAAGAAATAATTTTAAGAGTTACTGTGATATTAGGATTTTCCACTGATTTGGTAATAGAACATTATGTTGCAAAACATGACACGATGCAGAATAAAATCGATTTTAAAATCAGAAAAACCCATTGCAAATACTGGACTTCATTTTGAAAAATTCAATATATCACAATTTTTATTAACAGCTGTTTCATTAAAAAGTAGTGTAGAATTATGCATATGGTAAATAAATTTGAAGAGGCAACTTTAAAGGCTTCTGGGGCAGAGCCCCATGGGAATTTACCTCGTTCCTCTTTTGATGGCTCATCTACAGACCAAGACCTTTCTTTAGAGACCCCTACCAAGTTTCTACGCCCAGCCGTTCTCTCAAATTAGCTGTGACAAAAACCCCGTTTTCCTCCATAAGAATAACATGGGATGGGAATTTAAAGGCCACTGGGGCAGAGCCCCAAGGGAATTCACCATGTTTCTCTTTTGATGGCTCATCTACAGACCAAGACCTTTCTTTAGACACCTCTACCGAGTTTCTACACCCAGCCGTTCTCTCAAAATAGCTATGACAAAGAAAAACAGTTTCAAATTAATATATAGATAACAGTAATAAATTACAAATTATTACTATAACCAGCCCTAGAACCAGGAAGGTAGGCCTATTTATTCCATAAAAATGTCTTTAATCAAAGTCATCATAAAGTTTTAATTAATAAATATAAATTTAAATTATAAAATCATATTAATCCTATTTTTTCAAATATCAAAATGTGCCTGCCATACAACTGAAATATATGTTTGATTCTCTCATGATAGCACTTTCATTTGCATAGAAAGCAAACTTGTAAATTAGGAACGTTGCACACTGGGTCCACTCAGTTCAGTCGCTTTTGCAAATTTCGAAAACCATGTATTCAAATATACAGGGTGAGTTTTAATTGTCCCCCCCCCCAACTTTTTTCTAATTTTTTTTACAAATATCAATCCCAGACCACTTCCAAACATTGTTGGGTAGTAAGTACTTCATTTTGACAAGGTGGTCATTTCCGGCCGCCATCTTGGATCCGCCATATTGTATGCAAAATATTTTTTTCAAATGTAAAAGTGGGGTTGTGACCTATTATTTCAAACTAAATTTTTACCCCAATTACAATGCCAAAAATCGTTTAAAAAAATCTTGATTCATTCCAAAGCTATGAGGGCTTTATAAACTTTATTTTTAGCCCATTTTAACATTGTGCATTTACAAACTAAGACCATAATTTCAAAATAGTGATAGATAAAGATAAATATACACTACTAGTCATTGTCGACCTTTTTTCACTTGGTTATAATTGATGTATTTTTTTCGGCCGCCATCTTGGATCCGCCATTTTGAAATGTAATAAATATTTTTAAATATAAAGGGGGTGTTGTGACCCATAATTTAAAATTATTTTTTTAAGCTGAACTCAATTTCATGATCGGTTTTTCATTTTCATATTCTTTTTTTAAAAAATTGAAATTTAAAAAAAAAAATTTCAATATTTCATTAATAAAACTTGATAACAAAAATTGGATTCCGGCATTGAGTTAAGCTTAAAAAAGTAGTCCATAATGATGGGTCACAACACCCCCTTCATATTAAAAATTATTTATCACATTTCAAAATGGCAGATCCAAGATGGCAGCCGAAAAAATACATCTGTCATAACCAAGTGAAAAAAGGTCAACAATGACTGGTAGTGTATACTTATCTTTATCTAGCACTATTTTGAGATTATGGTCTTAGTTTGTAAATGCACAATGTTAAAATGGGCTAAAAATAAAACTTTGGATTGAATCAAGATTTTTTAAAACGGTTTTTGGCATTGTAATCAGGGTAAAAATCTAGTTCGAAATAATGGGCCACAACCCCACCTTTACATTCGAAAAAAAATATTTTGCATCCAATATGGCGGCCGGAAATGACCACCTTGTCAAAATGAAGTACTTACTACCCAACAATGTTTGGAAGTGGTCTGGGATTGATATTTGAAAAATGTAGAAAAAAGTTGGGGGGGACAATTAAAACTCACCCTGTAGAGCCGCGCACTGAATCCGTTCCGTCAGTTCAGTTCAGACCATTCCGTCCATCTCAGCCACTTTTCGGTTAGCGATTAATTTGGACGGAATGGACAGAAGGACTGGAGGCGCATGTGCAGAGTACAGCAGCCAGTGTTGGGCAACTGAACTCGGGTGGTCTGACACATGTTGGTAGTAAGCCTTATTTATTAAATATGAGTTTTGATGACAAAAGGCTTGATCAATAAGGACATTTTTATTTTATTTATTTCTTTTTAATTAACGATTTATTTTAGTAGTGCACACGTATCCATTGTACGACCTGTCACACAAGGATTACTACAATATTACAATGAAGGAGGTGATCATAATCTTTTGCAGCTAGTGCCAATGCTATAACAGAATTTCTCCGTCACTATTGCTGGAACTCATAATCGCACTAACGGAAACCCCTTCACAAATAATTTAGGTATTTGCAAACTATGACAGTGTCTGTTGTCAAAAACAACTGAATTGAGTGGACCGAACTGACGCAGTGTGTGAGAAAACTGCCGGAACTGAGGTGACTGACCTGACCGGACCCAGTGTGCAACGTGCCTTATGCTCATAAAAAACTCACCGAGTGCCGGTTTTCCAACTGTTTTATCTTGGTCTCGTACTCTGCTCTCATCTCAGCCATTTCCAGCGTGTGTTCTTCTACCAGCTGCGACATTTGTTGTTGGTACTTGCTGGTAAACTGGCGTTCCAGTGCTGCCAACTCTGGTGGCCAACTTGACTTTTCCTCGCCGACATCACCTGTTTCCACCATCGCCTAAAGTGACAGACAAGTTGTAACAAAGCCTAACATAGCACAGGCCACAGCTAAGAGGCAAACACTAGCCCAAAGCCAAACATATATTTTGACATGGCCCAACCATGTCCCTGGAAAATAGAACCAAACACTAGCCTTAGCACGAGTTGTAACAAAGTCTAAGATAGCTCTGGCCATAAATTGAGCCAAACATTGGTTGTGACAAAGCCTAACATAGCCCTGGCCTTATAACAGAGCCAAACATTGGTTGTGGCAAAGCCTAACATAGCCCTGGCCTTATAACAGAGCCAAAAATTGGTTGTGACAAAGCCTAACATAGCCCTGGCCTTATAACAGAGCCAAACATTGGGTGTGTCAAAGCCTAACATAGCCCTGGCCTTATAACAGAGCCAAACATTGGGTGTGTCAAAGCCTAACATAGCCCTGGCCGCATATAGTCATATGTTAGTTGTGACAAAGCCTAACATAGCCCTGGTCATATAATAAAGCCAAACATCTGTTGTTTGATGTTTTCCAATAATGTAGCCTAACCTTGCATTTTGTGGAAATAACGTTTCTTGATTCTTGTGACAAAACCTAACATAGCACCCTGGCCATATAATGGAGCCAAACAACATAATGAAATAATGAATTTATTTCCTCCAATAAAAACACAAAATGAATACAAAAATGACTTGGAAATTCATTGGGTGTGATCAACATTGGCTGTGATGAAGAATCATTATCATTACTTTAAGACTTCAAGCAACACACAAGGTGTGTATTTTAAGCTAAATATACAAATGCAAAATGAGTTTAAGGAATGATGATAAGTGTAAATGTGTGAGTTAATTGATTTGGGTAGCTTTGGTACTGACAAATCACTTTTTATTTTAATTTGATCCAGAATCATTTATTTAAAGCCACTGTAACCACTCAGCTTTTAAGCTAGTTTCGAATAACATGATCCTAGCTAAAGACTAGAGTTAGTTACACTAGTTTAAGGAGTCAACAATTTTCGACCCAATCACAAGGGGAGATTGCTAAACAGTTGCGCCCCCATCCTAATTGGTGATAATAAAAATAAGTAATTAAGTTCTGGTGAAAAAATGTGCATCTAGTGAAAATCTGTACGTGTATTGTTTGAGTGAGATACCGTAGCACACATTTCTAACTTTGAATTAAAAATGTTTTGTGTTCAATAAGTTTGCTTTTTTGTGACTATGAATTTGGAGGTGTGTTTAGCCTACATGAGACACTTCTCTAAAAACATTAACCAAGATGATTAATTTATATTTATATTTACCATATTAATAATTTCTCAACTTTTTCAGTCTAAATAAAAAATAACTTAGTCTGGCCTATTTCTTATTTTGGTTGTCCAAAATAAGATAATCCAAAATACTTCAATAAATAATCCAAAATCATTGATAATACAACAAATAACTACTCATACTTGAAGAGATAATAATTTTTAGTGTACACCATGACATAAACGTTTGTTCACATAAATTCAATTTATGGCAAGCACACTATTGATCACATTTCACTGTTAACTTTAAAAAAATAATGTTTAAAAATTAAAAAGCACACACTTTATCTTCACAAGACGATTAGTGTTACATGGGTTACTGAACTGAGCTATACTCGGACTGTTTGACCCCAAGATGAGGAACCAATCAAATTAAAAGATAAAAGATTAACAGAGATATATGTGTTTAAATTTATTTCCCAGTAGCCTATTCATCTTGCTAAGCTGTTTGAAGCTGATTTTTTACTTGCAAATGTATCTGACAAAAAAAACATCTTGAAAGCGTACTAAGTGTGGTTTACTTAAAGAATTATTTTTTTTATATAAGCCTCACTAAAAAGTATTGTGGAAAGAATGAAAATCTTTCAATATTTGGAAGATTGATTAGAACTAATTTTGTCAATACCATATAATAATCTTAAAAATCTTTGGAATTTTTAATTAAACATACAACAAATACGACAATTTGACATTTTAAACTTTAAAGTAACAAAAAATATACAAGTTTAAAGACATAAGGGGGTTGGAAATTGTGTCTTCTACATCAGAAATGTTTTGTGATTTTTATGAGGTAAAAATGTCAAAACCGATTAACTTATAAACATTAAAGGTTGAAACAAATTCTATGTCTACAAAATCCTACATGAAATTTTAAGTTGGAAAATTAGTCTAACTCAACAGAGCACATTTTATAAACTAAATATACTAGTCCTTACACTACAAAAATAGGTGAAATCTGCGGATGGTCTACAAATACATACGGGTGTTCTCACTTCCATTTTTTTGGGGTTATTTGGATTACTATACAGTATTTGATACCGGTATGTCACACCAAAATATGGTTTTTTGTACAGGATGAGGTAAACACAACTTACTTTTCCACAAAGAGACGGCAAAAAACATTTTAAAATATGCATTTTCAGGGAAAACCATAAAATCACATGACCTCTAGAAACTATAGAAAACTTCTTGTACTACAGTGATATGTATAGAGCCCAGATCAACTCACACTCATCTGGACTGAAACAATATGTGACCTTATCCAGCTCCAAAGAAACTGACGATTTGACAGGAAGCATTTGTTAAGCTCATTTAGATCTTCAACCTTAACTGCAGGCTTTTAACAACTCAGTTTTATTGGAATTTATACAGTTATTTTACAGAACAAAAGGAAAATAAATGAATAATTCGGTCCATATAATCTTAAACCAATTTAAAATATGCATAGGGTAGGTAAAAAAATAAGTTTTTTGAGTGTGAATAATGAAGGTACTTTAACAATCAAACGGTTTGATCTGATAATGTGTTTTTCCCACAAAAATTACAAGTTTGGTAAAAAGATAAATACCATTCATCTTGAAAGAATCCTTACACAGATTGAACAATGAACAGTATAAAAATAATTCAGAAGTATTTTCTAAAATAATAGTTTGTAAACCCATTTATATAGGCCTTGTATACAATTCATGAAGTAATCCGGAAGGCAATACACAAGATGAAGTATATAGGCCTACATGTTAGGAAACCTTCTTCACTTGTTTGGTCCAAAATTTAATAGAAATTCAACAGATTTTCTGAGAGCTATTGAACCTAGACATACAATTTGTATAAACAATGTTTTTGCTTTAGGAACCCTAAATGAAATATGCACCTAGCAGGTACTTGGACACTGTGTATGTATTATGTACGTTCTTATGTACTAAACTATATATTTGAGGATGAGGACAGTATATTTAGGCCTAATTATGAACACTACTTCCATGTAGAATAGTTTGCTAAAAGATAACCAAGCCGACATTGAAAATTTGATTGTCAAGTAGAACAATAAAACAACACAAACAGTTAGTTTATCCATAGACTAACCAACATAAGTAGATTTCTCATCCCATTGTAAATTTTGAAGCTAGTTTTTCGTGTCTAGTTCATGTCCGGTGACACTGATTGCTAGTGTTGCGAAATTTTGACTAAAAAAACAATAGGCTACCATACAGACGGGTAAACTAACTTGAAAAACATTAAATCGCCAATAAAATTATTTGCAAACAGCAAAAATATAGGTAACTGATCACTGACTTTTTTTTACTTAATATTAACAAAATAAAAACAATGAAATATCGCAAAGTGTAAAAAAATAAATAATGTACCTTCAATCAAGATCCATTCTTTCCCAACAAAAGATAAAGAAACACTACTATTCACATTATTGGACACTATTATAACCTAAAACTTTGTGTTAGCACTTATTGCAAGACACAGGATCAATTTTCAACCCTATTATGAGCTGGGCCATTGAAGGATGGCCCTATGTCTGGCCATAGCCACATGACTCATAGGGCAAAGTACACTGACTGTTCCTAATTAATGCTTCAAGCAAACAAATGCCTCACTGTTTACTTTACCTTTTAGAATCACAGTACAGGGTGAATGTTTGACTAACAAATGTTTCAACAGAGGATTTTTTTGTATTGAAATATTTTAAAGTTTACTTAATTGTATTACGAAACAGATTTTACTGGAGAACATTGATCAGGGTTGCGAATGGGGACCCATAATTCTGTAGTGTCTGTGTTAAATAAATGTGGATGATATAATTTTGCCATAATAAAAGGAATTTTGTATTCCTAGTTTAAAGAACAATAAATAATTAAGTAGGATTTTTTCGAGAGGATAGCAGGCTCTCATAAGGTACCAGTCAAACATAAGGTAAACCTACTTAATTTAGAATCGTCTATAGTGAATATGTGAATGATGATGGTAAATCATTGTAAATTATTTAAAGCAGAATCTGATTTTATGTCCAGGCCAAACAGGTACTATGCCACCTAAAACTTGAAATTTCAACATTTGTAATTATTTCTATTGAGTAGACAAAATACACAATTATTTAAAGCAATATTCTCATAAAGCTTCGCTCCATAGTTTGTTAATTCACTTCTGTATAATCACACATAAAAAAACAGCCACTGGTAATAACTGACAAAAGCACAGTTTTCTGGTTTGAAAATGTCTTTTTGATTAATGGATAATCATAACAATTACGTACCCAAGTTATGCTACTAAACATGTACTCAATAATTTTACCCACCTTGATTTGAAGCTCTAATGCACGTAGTATCTCTTTTCGAACTTCCTCAGTTAACATGTGTAGTTCTTGATGCTTATTTTGCTGAAAATAAACCTTTGTTAAATACTACTGCATATTACGCTAACTTTCAAGATATAAAAAAATTCAGAATAAAGATCAAATTGGCCATAGTGTAGTTTGAAATAAAATTGTATCTTAGTTGGTATACATCGATCATAAGGTTTAAAAGTAGGAAAAATCAGGTAACTTTATTAGCATTGTGACAAATCCTGATGGGCAGAATATTTATTTGTTTTCTCATTGCCCAAGTAGCAAAAATCGTTGGCCCAACGTTTCTGTTGATCGTTGGCCAACGGTATGTTTTGGCACTCAGTCTTACGGTTGGCCAACCAACCAATTTTTGCGGAAGGGCCAACCATCCCATTGGGCATAAACATAAAAAACACAAAATAATAAAGATTTTGTACAATGCAAAGCATAATTATGAGTTGAGTAAATTGATTAAATAGTTGATAAAAACTTATTTTGAAAATAAAACGAAATAAAATTTTCTTGGCCGGGACGGGTCTCGGACCCGGTACCTTCGACGTGTGAGCCTCACGCCTTACCTCTGAGCTAACTGTGCTTGTTGACTAAGAGTGTTTTCAAGTGGTGAAGAATAGCCAACAGATGCAATGGTCACAATTAATACTTTAAATATTTTTGATGCTACAGTATAATATGATTCTGTTAATCTGTTTAGGCCTCAAGTAGCTGAATTGTTTTTTCTGGTAGTTGGAAAGGATACTAGTATTTGAATATAGATGATTTAATTACCATTAGAATAGTAGGCTACTGTTATTTAATTGATTGTTATATAATTAATTAATCTTTTCTCTATAACTATTAAAAACTTGCTTAAATAAGTTAAAGAATATTTAAAAAAAATTAATTATAATAATTATTATATGTTAAGCAGGAGTTACCCACTGTATCTAGTGTATCACAACATCATCTGACTACATTCATTATTGATCCAAATTTTTACAATATTTGTCTTATATTCTGCTGCCATAACATGTATGTACTTTTAAATAAATCAATTTGTTCAAATTCGTTTTAGAATGTTTTATACTTAAACCCAACGAATACCCAACGAAGGCCCAACAATTCTTTCCTCTGTAGGGCCAACGAATACCAGTTTCCGTTGGGCCAACGTTGGCAAATCGTTAAAATTTCTGCCAACCATTTCCCAACCGTGCCGACCATTTCCCAACGTTGGGCCAACGATGTGTGCTACTTGGGTGTGTTTAAATATTCAAAAAGTCTGGATTACACCAAGAGATTTGAGAACAAAATTTACAGTATAATGGTAAAGATAAATTATTATTGGTGTGACTATAAAAAGTTGATAAATCCATGAGTTGTGATAAGAATCTCAATGATGAAAGATGTACGTAAGTTAGGGACGTTCACTAGTCTGGCAGTTTATTTCTTACTGCGGACTACTGCGGCCCCTGAAATAGCCTATTGTGTTCTCTGACCACCAAATATTGACCTGAGATACTGTTTTCAATACTACTGAGTGATATTATACTGGATTGTTAAACTATCAAGTTACCTGCAAGTATTCATTAACCTCGTGCAATCTCCTAACATCCTCTTGCAGCTTTTCAATTTGCTTCTTATATTTTGTTTCCATTTTAATTTTCTCCTCCATAATCGTGTCTATCCTGGTAGTCAATTCAATTTCAAAAGCTTGCTTCATGTTTTCAACCTCTTTTTTGTGGGCCCTTTGCAAATTAAATTTCATCTGTTCAATATCTTTACTTTTTTGTTCGTTCATCACATTTTGTTTTTTCAAAAGCTCTTTCTTGTCATGTTTCAGTTGATCTATGTATTTCGATTTTTCTTCAAGTTCTTGAGTTAAAATTACTTCGTTTTTCACTCTGATCACTGAGTTTTCCACTTCTTTGTTAGCTAGTTCTTCATACCTTCTCCACAGTTTATCAATTTCTACTTTGTGCGCCTCATTCAGTTGTGCTTTGATCATTTCTATTTCGTCATCCTTCCTCTTCAACTCTTGAGCAACAATTTCCTCTCTAATCTTGTCTAGTTCCAGTTCATAATCTTTTCTCACTTCTTCTTTAATCTGGTAAACTTTTAGCTCCAAATCTTTACTGACGTCACTAGATGGGTACTTGTCTCCAAGCTCTTGTATTTTTTCTGTGTAATACTGCTCAAGTGTAATGCCAGATTGTTTCGATCTCAGTTCTTCACCATTCATTAGATTTTTCTGGCACATCTTGCAAACGGATTTAGTCAACCGCACATCACAATTTGACGTCACAGAATCCAGTTCAACCTTGTATTTTTCTTTCATATTCTCTAACAACTCTTTCAAATCAGAAATTCGTTTCTCACACCCCTTGTGCAAACTCTCTTCGCTTTCCCTGTGGAACATACAAATCATTTTAAAGATACAGCAAACTAAATACTATTACCAAGTTGCTTTACGGCTAGCTTAAAAAAAATTTATGTTTTTTATAAAGCAAATTTGAAGTAATAACCATAAGTAATAGGGTAAATGATGAGTCTTTGTTTTGATACAAACTATTTTATCGGATATCTTCTAAAAACTAAGATTAGAAACAATTTTTTTAAGAGGTTGCCTCTAATGACAAAATAAATTATCTCTTAAATAAATTATTGGCCATATAAAGTATATTGGCTTGACACTACATGGTCCCAATGTCAGACAGCACTGCTAGAACAAACGTTGAACTTACATTTGGTTAGGTGGCTCGTCCTCGTACAGGTCCACAATGTTAGCCACATCGGATGAGCAGCTAGACATGGACACTTTGCTGTTGTGCTGTGATTGGCTGTAGATCTCCTCAGAATAGCTGCAAAGTCATAAAATCACTTAATGAGGTTACCAGGAGTGAGAAATACTGACATTTGGCTTTAATTAAAACAAGAAGTGCTTATAGTGCTCACCTTCAAATTTGAAGGTCGCTGGTTCGATTCCAAATTAGATTGGACCAGACCTAAATGCTATTTGTCATTGAGCTATCAATGAATGAGGCTTTTAACGACAAGTCGAGGTTAGATAGAAACAAGGTCAGGATTTGGATCGTTCCCTTAAAAAAACTTTAATAAATGCCACCACTGGCGTAGTTACACAATAAAGACAAGAAAAAAAGGCAGCAGGTTGCTTGCGTCGCTTTGTGTAATGAGTAGAAGTACTCAACATGTGATTTTCATGGTCATAGGTGGACTGGGTTGTGTTGAGGTTTCAAAATAAAAGGGATTTGGTGTGATTATTAAAGTAGATATCAACAGTCTTTAACGTACCAAAAAAGAAAAGGAAAGTTCAAACTCATCTACTTCCAAACTAAAATGTAATAAAATATAGAGCTGACTCATGAAATAGCTATTAAACATTCATAATTTCAATTCTATACCAGTTTACAACATTTATGTTTGGGCTGATAGTATAAGATCTGAACAAAACGGGTTTCTAACCCTTGATCTAACAAACTATATAGGTAGCATAGTTTAGAAAACTGTTTGTAGTTGAGGTTACACCTACATAAACTATCTTCCAAAACTAAAAATTTGATGTTATATTTTTCAGCTCCTTGATTAAATTTTAAATTTCACACTGGGTGATTCTGTACACAATATTTTGTAAAATTTAGAAATTATTCTTATATAAATCAGAATGTTTGTAAACATTTTGGATTGACACATAAGATCACCTAAATGTTTTCCGCTATGGGCTACAGCTGGTAAAAATGTTTAGAATTTATCATCAATAAATAATTTTGTATGAATAATAAATCATAATCAATGATTAACCAGGACCATTGCTTGAAAGTTGTATTTTGTGTCATATTAAGCATTAAGGAAACATAAAGAAAAAACTCTAAAGCAATAATTTTTGGTGTTGTTTAACAAATATTGTTTATAAATATTGTAATCAGAGAAAAAAGAATTTGTTAATAAAAATAAACACATTTGCCTTAAAAAATAAGGTTGCCCATAGTACAGAAAAAATATACTGTACACTTAAAATATAAAATAAATGTAACAGCTAAGACTGATTTATTTGGATGTTTGCCATATATATATGATTTCCCATTGTAGTCCTTGAACCTCTTAATGTTTTATGTATATACAATTTTTGTATTACATAAATAGCTATTGGATACTGAATAGTTGTTTAATGGTCAAAGTTTATATTAAGTAGGCAATGTCACAATAAGCTTTGGTTGACACAATGAATATAAACCCTTTAACCCTAGCAGTGGCCAATGTTAGAAGTGGGGAATGGCCAACCCATTTTGGCGATTTTGCAGACCTTTTTTTGAAAATTCGTAAAAATTCAACCATACAAGTAAACCTAGCCAACCTCATATTCATTTTGTTCGGAAAGAACAGGAGAATCTAGAAATAGTAATATCATAATGATTTAGACAGTGTATTTTATCGATAAAGTGAAAAAAATAAAAAAATTTGAATTTTTTTTTTGAAATTTCAAAAGCGGCCTTGGTATTTTTTTTCTACGGATTTCTTTATGGGAAATTCATTATATACATTTTGTAGAAAATCTAATTCCCTACATAGAAATATATAACATGTTAGGAAAATATTTTTTTTTTATAAGTTTTTGGGGCGAAATATAATGACAAACGGAGAACCGAAAAAATTGAGAACCGTACAGTGTTAGTTTATGTTGTAAAAAGTTCTATAATACATGTGTATACTAATAATGATATATACATGTTTGTAAAGCTAATGAAGTAAGGAATCAAAAAAAGTCATAAAGTTTATGGTAAAAATAATTTTTTACCTATAAACATACGTATATAAAATAATGTTTATATATTTTAGCGATTTCTCGAAAAACAAAATTCACAGTACTTAGTATACAACTTTTGTACCAAATTTTTTTACTTCAAACCAACATAATAATCTTGTAGTGTATTCAATTACCAACATAAAAATGTATAACATGTTAGAAATATTTTTTTGTAGGTACGTAATAGGGACATAATAATACAATAACCGCAAAACCGCAAATAAGTGTAAACTATAGCCTACAGTGTTTGCTTGGTTGTGAAACATTATGTAGGCTGATGATATGTAGCCTACATATTTGTAAAGCCAATGAAGTAAGGAATCCAAAAAAGTCATAAGTATGATGGTAAAAAGTTATTTTCACCTATGATTATGTAGGCCTATCAATTTGAGAACGTTTTGAATTTTTTGCGCATTTCGAGAAAATGGAGTGTACAGTATATAGTAGCCTATATAATTTTTTACCAAATTTTTTACACCCAAACCAATATAAACATGTTGTAGTGTATTCATTTACCTTTACAAAAATGTATAACACCTTGGGTAAATCATTATAACCCCTCTGAATGTCAGAATCGTCATTTTTGGACATGATGCTAACAAAATAGCCTACAGTAGTAGGCCTATTTAGTATAGGCTATAACTTTTTTACAAAATTGTTTACCCCCGAACCATTATAAACATGTTGTAGTGTATTCATTTACCTTTATAAAAATGTATAACACCTTGGGTATATCATTATATAGGTACAACAATCTCTGAATGTCAGAATCGTCATTTTAGGACATGATGCTAACAAAATACAACCTTTTATGAACACTATTCCACACAATTCAGTAATATTTATGCATGAAGATAACTGTTATACACACACACAACACTTCACTTACACTAACACTACGAACTAATAACATATTTAGTAATAAATCGCGGATAAAACTATTACGGCAACAACACAAACAAACAATGGCAATACAAGACAGCTGACAGACTGTGGCAGTAATGACTCACTTCCGTCGTCTACATCACTGTCTACATGCGAGCATACAGAAATAACCCTGAGTGCAGGGCTGCCACTCTCTGAATCTAAATTTCTTCCTCTTCAAAATGATATACTATATGACTAGTAATAATAACTTTCACTGTATATAATTCGTATTTTCCATACTGTCACCAGACGACTGTTGGCCATTTGTTAGAAATTTCGAAAACAGCTGTTTTCATAAAATCGTACCGATTGTGCAATCAATATTTAGTTATAAATATCACTACCACAATGAAGATAAAATCAATGGCTATCCAGTGGTATCACCCGCAACATCCCAAGACGAAAATTACCCGAGCAGGGTAATGCCAAACAAGACGTGTTTTGCCAGTTCCCAAGTGTCGGCTGCAAAAGTCTTACCGCGCCAAAATTTCATTTGATTTCTAATCGTCGTGACATTGTTATATACCTGCTACAGGGTTTGTTTATGTAATCAAATGAAAGTTCAGAATGTGATCTTTCGAATGGTATATATATTATTCTAATCTGAGTTGATTGTACGTGTTTTTTTTACCGTTAAAAAAATTTCGGCCCATACCGTAACCAGACGACTTTGGCCATTCTAAGCATCAACGTCATACCGTAACCAGACGACGGTTGGCCACTGCTAGGGTTAAAAAGCACAATGCCTTTGTAAAAAATTCAGTCTGGAAATATTTGAATTTATGATAGTTCCCACAGCGGCCGCTAGGTAGACTATCACGAGCACGCGGCCAAGTCAGCTGACTGAGTGAGACAAAGAATTGACTTAGAGAGAGAGAGAGAGAGGATAGAGTAGCGTGGCCACCGCACGAGTGTTCGTAGCAGCGGCAAAATTACAGACTGAATATTTATCCTTAAAAGCATTTCGCTTAAAGGGTTTGTATTCATTGATTGACACACCGGACCTGGGCCCACCCTCTCATACCATTTTATTTCATCAAGATAGGTTTTTTTAAATTTTTATTTGGATACAAAATGAATAATTTATATAGTTTTCAAAAACTCTATGGAGTCAAAATCAAAAATCAAATCAAAATTTATTTTATTCCGTATGTGATTCCGAGTGATTAATGGTAGATATCCAGGCAACATATATAATCCTTACTGTTTTTCTAAGTCGGCACATTTTTTTTCAAAGTAGGTACGTAACTCCTCAACTTCTTTCCTGTGTTTCTGTTCAAGATCTTGGCGCAAAGCTTCAACATCTTCAGAAACAACTACAGAATTGTTGCTTTGCAGTTTTACCAGCCAACTTTTGGCTAAACTCAATTCTGTTTCGTGATCTTTTACCAGCAATTCCATGGCAGATCTGAAAATGAAATGAGCATAATTATTCAAAATCAAAATAATCACACAAAATAATAATTTAGAAGCAAAAAAGTAATTTATAAAAACTGTTTTATTTTAACATGTAATAGTCATAACTTTAAAATAATCAAACATGAAACAAAGGTTAAGTTATACACAGCCGTTTTCGAGATCTTTCTGCAAGCAAGCATACATACATACAAGCAAACATTGCTCGTATTAGAGTATAGGATAGGTTCTACTGTAGGGGTTATCTTACTTGTGTTTTTTCTCAAGTTCATCCTTTTCATGCTCCAACAACTTGATACGGCTTTGTAGCTCCAGCAGAGTACGACTCTTGTCTAACTCTGCGTGCTGAACTTTCAGAGTTTTCAGGACTGCATTGTGGGCATCAACCAGTCTTTTCTTGAGGCAAAACAATGACTTTATGCAATGCTCGATCAAGAGCCTTGTGAACTCTGGAAACAAAGTAGGCTATTCAAAACTTCAACTTTTACCACAGGGTGAGGGATTGTAGTGTCAAAGTCAATAGTGTAATTTTTTTGTTACAAAGTTATAACTAAAAAGAATAGTAATGAAAAAATACCCCGCCGCAGCAAACCTGCAGACTTAGCGAATTTCCATTTGCCTGATTGGATTTAAACTAAAATGTCTCCTTAAAAATATCACACTTATTCCCTATTTAAACAGAATTAGTTTAGTGAGTACTTAGGTTTGCTGCAACAGGGAGGGTAAAAATTTTGTTTAATGTAAAATGTTAAAAAGTACTGTGGTTTAGTACAAAATGTATTTTCCAAATTTGATCAAAATATGTTCATAAACAAGCAAACTACAACAGTTGACTTATTCTCCATAAGAATAACATGGGAATTTAAAATTACAATTTTTTTGAATTTTCTCCGTAACAGTTAGGCGCATTATAACGCTTCAATATACTAAATTATTTGTTTTTTTAAGCTCTACAAAATGGTTTAAAAAAGAAATTGTGAAATTTTGTGTTTTTATGGTCAAAAATGGGAAAAACCTATTTTTACCCCATAAAACCCCCCATAAACACCCGTTCCCATAGTCCGATCATGCTGGTTCGCGAACTCATTCAAGTTTATCCCGCCTTACACCTTTAAACCAAATTTTATGAAAATCGGACAAAAATTACTCAAGTTATCGTGCGGATGGACACACACACATATATATATATATATATATATATATATCTCTATATATAGATATATAAAAATTTGAACGAATGGTGTTTTTGGCCTCTGGGGACATCAAAATGAAAAAGTAAATCGGTCCCGGGCTTAGGTCTTACCATGAGACCTACGGTAATAGCTACTTCCCTATAGGGAAATCGCTCCCAGCGGTGTGCGCCAGAACCTATGGTAACCGCAGCACAGCTATCGGTCTATATTTAATTCTTTTTGTCCATGGTTTTAATAAGATGAACAACTATATGTGTAGCTGTCTTCATAATTTACCTTTGTTTGAACCCGTCAGTTCAGTCCTTTGTTGCTAACTCCTTGTTGCTGCTCCTTTGCTAACATTTACCAGAAAAAAACACACTGACATAAAAAACCCCTAGTGATGAGTCGGTTGCTGATTTTATCAGTTTATTTTCTTTTTTTATCAGTTGTGTGTTTATCAGTTTTTCCCCTTTAATTACTTATGTAAGTAGAATTTTCTCTATTTTATTGCAAAAAGGTAGTAAAACAATTGTTTGTTATTTGTTAATTGGATTAGAGTGAGATTGACCAAGGCCCCACTAGAAAAAAACAGGCCATGCGTTTGTAAGATTTTAATGGTAAGAGTTTAGTACAACTATCCACCACTGTGACGTAGTGTTGCGCTGCCCGTGCTGAAGCATGGCCTGTTTTTCTAGTGGGGCCTTGGATTGACTTGCTAAATTTTAAGGGCATATGCCCATAAAACAAGCATATGTTTTTAATTAAACAAGCATATGCTTCAGAAGATCTAGGAAAAAAATGGAGATCTGCTTGAGAATTTGACGATGGAGCAGGCATTCAAAATATATATATTTAAAGAATCCAAGTGTTAAGTAAAATTTGTGAATTTAGATTTATTGATCTTGTAATTGTTAATTGAAAGTACCTGGGGACCGAGCCATGGCTCGGTGTAGTTTGTTTCGATTGTAAAAGCAATAAAAGGAAACTCACGTTTCTAATTTTGGCTTTATTTTTTAAGTTTTAGTGGATTACAAATAATTTATTATGATGGAAATTTTAACCTGGCAATCCTCAAGACATTAATTTATTTTACAGTCGATAAAAGGTCTCTCCTTTATATTGGCCTACACTTGCATAAACATTGTTTTGTTTTGAAGGCTAAGTTAGTCAGGGTGCACCTAATTTTTACTTATTTACAACTAAAAACATGATATTTCAGTTATTAGATATTCAATATCTTTGAACTTGGTGTCATTTGAAAGGAAATATTTAATGCTAAATAAAAAGAAGGTTTTTGGACATTTCTTCATAAATTTAATAGCAGTTTTATTGAAATTTAAATTTTAAAAGGCTGCTATTTTTAAATTTCAAATTGGACCAACCTATTTTTTTCTACCATAGTTCCCTTTACCCGTAAAATACATAGTACTTAGTTTAATAAAGATTGGTACAAAAGATTTCAAGATAAAATGTTTATGTATAAAAAACAAAATTACGAATATCTGGGTAAATATGCATTTTTGGACATACCTTCATAATACAGTAGTTATTTTCTTTCTTTTTGTATGAGATATATGAAATCGGTTTGCGGCAACCTGTTTGGATATGAGGGTTAATTTTGAAAATTTTACCCTTAGGGGTAGTGAGGGTGGGGGGTAGCTCAAAATCGTCAAACAGGAAGTATGGTCGAGTTTAATCATTTCACAGGTCTTGACAAAACTAAACAATAAACATAAGGAAAATAGAAATCAGACAACTAATAACAAATTGGCAGCTAAAAATTATTAAGACAATGGTTATTAAAAGTAATTTTTAACTACCATTTTGTTATTAGTAGTCCGATTATTATTTTCTTTGTGATAATTGTTTAGTTTTGTCAAGACCTATAAAATGATATCAAACTCGACCATACTTCCTATTTGAAAATGTTGAGCTACACCCCCACACCCCTAAGGGCAAAATTTTCAAAGTTCACCATAATTATTGTAGCCCCTCATATCTAAACAGGTTGCCACAAACCGATTTCAAATATCTGAAATAGTTCAAAAGTTAAGAGGGTTGCAAGTTAATTTTCAGCAACCCATCTGGTTATTTGGATTAGAAACGTTTTAGGGCACCATTTTGTTATTATTGGTCCGATTTTGGTTTTCGTTAATGTCAATTGTTGAGTTTTGTCGAGATCTGTAAAATGATACCAAACTCGACTATACTTGCCCTTTGAAAATTTTGAGCTACCCCCTACCCCCGCTGTCCCTAAGGGCAAAATTTTTAAAACTAACCATAACTATTGTAGCCCCTCATTTCTAAGAAGGTTGCCGCAAACCGATTTCAAATATCTCAAAAGGTTTAACCCATTGGCCTACAAAAAAAAGTTAAAAAAAGTTAAAGTTAAGGGGGGTGCAAGTTACTTTTCAACCACCTTGAATACCGAAACTTTTTTTTATTTTTTATTTATTTACCTTAGAGGGAATATAAGCGAATTTACCATATAGGAAATAAGCTATTACCGTAGGTCTCATGGTAAGACCTGGACCCGGGACCGTTTTATTTTTTTGTTTTGATGTCCCCAGAGACCAAAAATACCATCGGTTCAATTTCATAAATAGGCTATGTGTTCGTTAGTACGATAATTCAAACAAAAATTATCCGATGTCAATGAAATTTGGTACACACCTGTGAACATACGTATATTCAAACAAGTTCGCGAACTAGCATGATCGGACCATGGGAACAGGGTTTTATGGGGGGATTTATGGGGAAAAAATTGGTTTTTCTCGTTTTTGACCCTCAAAACATAAAATTTCTCAATTTCTCTCTAGACTATTATGAAGGGTTGAAAAACAAATGATTTAATATATTAAAGTGTTTTTGAACGGTTATTGGTTACGGAGAAATCTCAAAAAATTGTTAATTTAAAATTCCTATGTTATTCCCATGGAAAATATGTAAACTGTTGTAGTTTACTTGTTTATGGATATATTATGATCAAATCTATTTATTTTTTACCAAGCTATTAATGTTTTACTATAAAAACAGACTTTATTACTCTCCCTGTACCAGCAAACCTAGGTACTTGTTAAACCTAATGTTATTAAAATAGATTTAGTTGAAAATCAAATCAGGCATATGGAAATTTGCTTGGTCTGCAGGTTTGCTGCGGTAGGGTATTGTTTTGTGGACACCCTAATAATTAAAGGAACAATAGTGTAACTATCTAACAATAAACCACTCCATATATCCATTTTTGTTCATTATTTTTATTATAATCATTGAGAGTAGAGACATAAAAATCCAACTGCTTATACTATACACATGAAAATGGAATTGTAATTGTCCCTAATGCATATGTTAAACAACAATAAAAACAAACGGTTTATCAAAACATTGATGTTTTACTGGTGATTCTATTTGTCCATTAATCTTAAATTGTATGTAGGCGTATTTTCTTCTGATATTGATTGTAATGACCAAACATAAGCTCAGCTTTTCTTTTTTTCCGTTCAGAATATTCATCTTTACTTTTTGCTTGAGCTGATCTGTAATGATGGTATTGTGAGAGCATGAATGAAAATATCCCAAGTTGAGAAGTGAAATTCAACAAGTAGGCCAACATTTTCCCTGTAAACTCATGATACTGATGCCGCACGATACTTTTGAACTGAGATCTTAAAATAAGAACATCTTTCAAGCTGTAAGCGGCTGGGGTGGTGACAAGGAACATAATGAGTCTGAATTGAGCAAACATAAATATGGCTGTGATCAAAACACCATAAAAGATTTCAGGTATGGTCTTCAACAGGTCTAGAGCATAGTTCTTTACATCCTCGTTAAACTTTATTATTCTCAAAAATCTTATTAGTATAAGGGAAAAAAGAAATCCTATCACTTCTTTGGCGAATTCCGACATGTCAAATACATTTTCGAAGGAAAAATAAACATCTTTCCCCTGTTTGGACAGTTTTGCTTTGACTTCAGTCACCCTCGATAACCAATTGAGGTATTCCAGTGTTGAATAAACAAATACAATCAGAATTAGACAATCGTAGAGGTTCCAAAACCTACTTAAAAACTTCTTTGTTCCGTTTATGTTCATTCCCCAAAAAAATTGAAGACTGAAGACAATAAATGTGACAGTAAAAAGTACTCCGGGACCTGAAAAACTCGTCAATATCATAGAGCCAAAGTTGTAAAGAACAGTGATACTTCCTGTGGTCAGGACTTCTGTTACGATAGTACATACTGTGAACACATCGTAGTTAGCATTGTACACGGTG